ATTTAAAATTGCTAGGTGTTCATGGTTTCAAAGTGTGGGCCCTTGAGGATTTTCTATGCTATGTCCCAATTCTGGTTGACTTTGTGGTTCTTGGGTATTTTCATTGAAATTTTTTAGTGATAGAATTTTGCCTTTATCATGTTATTGTTATTATCTTAATTATCGCTTTATACACTTGAACAATTAGTTTTTTCCTGACGTCCTTGCCTCCAATTTTCTCTCTAAAGCATACAAAAAAGCATAAAAAGATAAAGATCACCATAATTGCCAGATACTACTGCTGCTAACACTTAACACTTCCATGTAATCCATTTTAAAAAATGGGGCCATATTATCTATATCCTTGTGTTTGTACAGTTCTCTGAGGTATATTTCTCATTTTTTTTTTTTTAAGATTTATTTATGCTTACAAGAACTGGGGTACAGGCCAGAGGTGTGGGCAGTGAGAGGATTCACCAGAGACAGAGCGGGAAACAGAACAGGCAGATTGATCGAAATACACTGCTGAGGGGAGCAGTGGACGAGGCAGGAGAGGTCTGCTGCGCCATGTGGGTAGCTCCCTAGCCGGCCAGGGGATCGAACTTCTGCTGCAGTGGCTGGGGGACAGCTTCATAGGTTGCGTCTTAACCCCTTGCACCACCAGGGAGGCTCTATTTCTCATGTTTTGAAATGCTTTCTATACCAGGATTTTAAAAATTTATTTCCACAGAATTAAAAACTTCTGTAGTTTGTTGAAAGTATCCCTTAAAGTACTCCAAGGTCAGGAAAGCTTGGGAAAGGCTGAATTTAATTAGGACTGTTCTGTTTTAGATTGTTTCTATTTTGCTATAATTGTACAAAAATTATTTGTACATAAGTTTGTGCACATTTCCTAGCTGAAGGTCCTTAAGAACTCTATCAAAGATTATGAGCATCTGAAGAGGTTTTTTTTCTTACACATACAAATATGTATATATGTATATATTTATGTGTATATATTTATGTGTATACGCATGTTATATATGTTTTCATACATACGAATACGTATATATATTTATGTATTTCAAATTAGGATCATACTTTATATGTACTATTTTGTACTTGTTTCTCATCTGAAAGAAATATAGTCACATTGTGTGAGGGAAAATCTGGTAACATTTCAATCCTTCTTATAATATTTATACAATTTGTTATATTTCATTGTGGGTGGCTAGCGTTTTAATTGATTCTAAAACAGCGCATGTCTTTTAGTTAAGCACTTTGGAGCTTTTAGCTGAAATGGCTAGAACTCTTTAAGTGTTTGTAATTTTAGCTACCCATAAATGCCTCTTTTTTCCCTCATTCAAGTTGAACCACATGAGAGAAAAAGGGAATCAGGCAAATAGAGATCCAAATAACTACCCTGTTATCACTGAGCAAAAACTGGATTGAAGGTTGTTGGCTTAGATGTGCAGCAACATTGGATTTCCCGTGATCTCTGTCCCCTAGATTGCGATCTTGGAACTGCCAACTGAGGGACGCATTGCGTCTGCAGAGCAGGTCCCGGAACCCCTGCCTTTTTTGTTATTGCTACTATTCATTCCTTCTGCTTGACTCCCTGTTTGTGAATGGCACACTCTATGAAAAAGGAATCTAACCCGGTTTAAGTTACAACCTCTTGTGATGTTTGTCTTTTGTCTGAGTCTCTGATCCTGGGGATTCTCAGCAACAAAATACTGATTGGAGTAGGTCTTTGTGGTCATTTAGCTAGCACTCCATAGGAAAGTCTCTACCTGTTTGGTTATTGTCAAAATTTGATATTAATTAGATTGTTGATGAAAGGCAAATAGTTTCCAGAGCCCTCTGATTCCTTCTTTCTTGTGTTGTAGTCTTAGTTTTGTTGGAGGCCTGTGACCTACACATGAACTACCCTTTGGATGAACCTCCTTTTCCTAGCATTCCAGGTTACCACTACTGCCATATTAGGGACTTAGGGTGTCCTCTTTTCTTGCATGTTTCTCTTTGTTTTGGACCTATGGACCTAATGGACTCATGTATCTGGATTCTACAAGGTAGTGTATCACCCAGCTCTATTTGGGATATCTCTGCCTTCTTCCATCCTTAGACTTTAGAACTTGGGAACTGATTTCTGATCACAGTCTTGAACTTTTAGGGCTCCAAGGTCATTTTCTTGTGGTCTTTTAACTTCCATCAAGAAGCGAGTTTATTTCTTCAATGAATATTTCCTGGAATTTTTAGTGTAGCTGCTGCTCCTTCATCAGCAAGTTGGTTGTCTGGCTATTGGTCCCTCTTTAATGTGATCCTGACCTTTGAGTACTAGTACCCTATACTGCATAAAGATATTTCCTCTGTTGCTGGTGGTAGAATCCGAAATGCATTTGGGGATCTGAAATGATAATTGACTTCCAAGTATAAGAACTCTGGAGTATCACTGGAATACATAGTTGAAATACGTAACTGACTAATAAGCATCATTGATACTACTTTATCATTTCACAACATGGTGCAAATGTATCCAGTTGTGCCTTTTGAACCATATCATAAACTGCTGGATATTGTCAGGTAGTTACTAATCTTTCTCACATACTTTAATTATAATTTTTTTTTCCACAATGGATTTCCCCCCCTTTTTTTTTTTTAAGATTAATTTATTTATGCTTACAAGAGCTAGCGTACAGGCCAGAGATGCAGGGGTGGCAGGGGGGTGGTGGTGGCGGTGAGAGGATCCACCAGAGACAGAGTGGGGAACAGAACAGGCAGACTGACGAAACACACTGCTGAGGGGAGCAGCGGGTGAGACAGGAGAGATCTGCCACGCCATGGTGGGGATCGCTGCGGCCGGGTGGGATCGAACCTGTGCTGCAGAGGCTGTGGACAGCTTCACAGTGCTGTGCTCAGCCGCCGCACCCTCCCCACCCCATCATTCTTAATTATACTTTCATGATGTGGATTTTAGTAGGTCACCTATTCTATTGCTTGATATGACTTTGATGGCTTCATTTAGCTTTGGAATATTACTACTGAATCTCAGAAACCTTGGCATAGAGCTGTTTGTTTGTCATTTGTCTGTTTTTTGAATTAATTTGATTCTGTTCTAACACGTGTCTTTTAGTGGCAATGCCCCAAAGCCATTCACAAGATCTACATGGAGTAAATCTTGAAAGTTTGTTATTAAAGACACTGTTTTGCTAACATCTCTGGATGTACTGTTACTTCGGGAGCAGTTGAGGTTGAGATATATTGGGACCTGTAGTAGTGAATGAAAGTTTCTAAATATGATTCAGCTTGAATTTCAGATTGCAGAGATGTGGTCCTTTCCACATTCATTACTGCTTCCTGAGGTGTATACTCTGTGGTTCAGTTTGTAGAGGCAAACTTAGGACTCTGTATGTCAGGGCAGTCTAAGCCAGACATCTGTAACTTTGATTTAATGTGGAATCCATTAATCGGGTTTGCTAGGACTTCAGTTGTTGCGGTTACACAAGCCGGAGATTTTACCTAACCTCTGTAAATTATTGATTTTATTAATTACTTCCCTAAATCTCTGGTAATCTTCATTTAATTAGACCCCAACACTTAACTAAGGTTTAAAGGATTCCTTTAAGGAGATATCCAGTCATTATCTCCTATCTTATTTAAATCTGCCTGTTTTTGGCTTTTTTTTTTTTTTTTTGAAGATCTTTTTATGCATATAAAAACTGGGGTGTAGGCCAGAGGTGCAGGGGTTAAGAGGATTCACCAGAGACAGTGGGGAGCAGAACAGGCAGATGTGGATTGACTGAAATACACTGCTGAGGGGAGCAGCAGGTCAGACAGGAGAGGTCTGCTGTGCCATGTGAGTCAGTTCCCTGGCAGGGAATCAAACTCGTGTTGCAGTGGCTGGTGATAGCTTGGTAGCACTGAGACTCAAACCACTGTACCCTCAGGGAGGCCCCTTTTTGGCTTTCTTACTCTAAATTTTCATTTTCCCAAAGCCTTCATTATTGGGAATCATAGCTTCATTAGGCTAGCTTAAGTCCCCATGTTCATAGTTAACTCCTGTGGGTTGTCCTTGATGCTCAGTTATTTTCCAGAATACAGGCTACCCATGGTAAAGTGCTGTGACCAAGAAGAGCCTCGGCCTTCCTATTCCCCGAACCCTCCATTATTCAGAGACTTGATTTATCTGTTTTCCTTTTTACCAGTTTTATATATTAACCTGTTCTGATTCTCAACCAGAACGAATTATAACTTCTGCCTTTTCCTCAAAGGTGGGTACTTTAAATTGATAGTCAGCAACCCTGCTGGCAAAGGTCATGATTTCCTAATTTGGAGAATCCAGTTGTTTGCTATTTGAGTGTCCTGATGTAATCTGCTGATGTCTGGTTGAGTTGAGTATTCCCATATCCCTTGATGTCTAGTCTTGTTCTGTCTCGCTGTTCTACCTTCGATGTTACCTTTCTATATGTGGATGGGGGACAAGCACCTGATTATTTAACTCTTTATTATTCGGGACTTCAGTCTCTCAGCTATCCTTTCTGTTCTTGGATGCATACATATGTTTTCTAACATAGTCTTCAAAAAATAACCCTGTGTTTTTATTCTAAGCAGTATTGAATGAATAATATTCTAATTTTTCATGAGGTCAAATTTGGCTGACTTGTTTTCCTGAATTTGCTCATATATACTCATAAGCCACTGTAACATGATGTTAACTGAGTTAGGTGAGCTTTGGTCCTTGCAATCACAAAGAGCCCAGTAGACACATAGTTTGACTAAGAAAGATGTTGTATTTTATTTGTTGCATAAAAATTTTATACACTGTGTAAGATTATTTGTTGTTTATCCACATGAAGGGTAAGTGGTGAAAAGACAAACCCCTGAAAAATCTAGATTAGTAATGACTAGTAATTACATTTTTCAGTATTTTAAGTTATAGTTATGAAAGGCATGAAAGCTACAAGGCACCAAAAGTAATTTCTTCTAAAAATATTTCCTGTTTTTGACTCTGAATTCGTCATTTTGTTTCCTTTTTAAAATAGGGTTACACATCATTTTGGAATGACTGTATATCATCTGGATTACGTGGCTGTATGTTAATTGAATTAGCCTTGAGAGGAAGGTTACAACTAGAGGCTTGTGGAATGAGACGGAAAAGTCTGTTAACAAGAAAGGTAAGAGGAATGCTAAATAGCATGTCTTTTTAAAGAATTTGTGCTGCTTAAAAATAGTTTTAACTGATAACTTTCACAAATTAAAGAAGTTGATTCCTTGTTGAATCTTGTTTCCGTATCTTTATCTTTATGGTACCATATCTTTATGGTGTCCTTGGTTTCTTGATTCTGTGAGTAAAGTAATTCATTGTTAGGATCACTTATTTTATTTGATATGCTCATAGAGACCATAAACTTCAGTTGCTGCTTTTGAAAACCATAATTTGGAAATATTTGACATAACTTTCTTTTAAACCCAGAAGTGTTATTGTGTAATTTTATGTAGGCTATTGATTTTCTGAACAGAATATGAACAATTTTCAGATCTCTGCCATCTCCATTGTGAAGGTCTGTGTTACAATAGAAGTATTATTGGTTAAATTTCAGAACTTCTAATTTCAGCCTCAATTTCAAATATTCTAGACTGTTTCTCTTTTAGTGTGTTGTTTCTTGGGGGCATGGTGTTTGAAAACTTTCCCTAACACAGTGTCCTAGTGAATTTAAAGCAGTCCAGGGTTAGAAAAGAACATTGATTGATACATGCTAAAGTAATAATCCTTTAGGAGAGAAAGCCATTAATGTGTTTTTGAAGTTATAGAGTAAACATGGTATATTAGAAAACATTCCTCATGGGATTTTAAAATTAAACCTAGTCATTCGAAAGCGAAGTCAAATGGGCTGTCTTGAGATTAACTTTCAAACTACTTTATTTTACAAAACTGTCATAAAGCAGAATATTGATTTTTTTTATTTCATTTTGCTGTGTAGTCGTGGATTTATGGAGGAAAAAAAAGATTGCCACTATAGTTATTAATGATAATATACATAGAGGTTGCTCCCAATTACAGTAATTACAAGTAATTTTGTGTTAATGTTATGGAGTCCTAATCTAAAGTGAAAAAGTTTTGACAGTTATTTTTTATTCTTTTTATGAAGACGAAAACCATTTTGTGTTGGTTATCAACAAATTACTTGCCCTTTTATTCATTTATTCATTCATCATGTATCTATTTCTGATGACTGAGTGAAATTCTCTGCCTTCATAGGCTTATTGTTTCAGTCTTAGCTTGTATGATCTTAACTAGGTAGTTGATATTTTCTGGGAAAAATGCTCCAATGTGATTTAATTTACTCATGAAAAAATAACTACTGGTTTTATTATGATAATACATGTATAATAGTTATAAAATTGTACTAAAGGCTTGTAACAAAAACTTCACTGTTACCCTTCCTCTTTCCTTAGTCATGCTCCAGGGAGGCAACCATTTTCAGTCCTTATATTAATTTCCTAGGGCTGCTTTAACAAATTCCATAAACTTGATGATTTAATACAGCAGATACTTATTTAACTCTCATAGTTATGGAGGCCAAGAATATGAAATGAAGATGTGCTTTGTTGCCATTGAAGTTTTTGCTCCCTGCTTCTGTTGGTTCCAGATTTTTCCTTGGCTGCTGACCACCTCTCTCTCTGCTCTGTCTTCACATCACCTTTTGTGTGTTTCTCTCCTCACTGTGTCTCTTATAAAGGCATTTCCAGTGCATTTAGGGGCCATTTGGATAATCCAAGAGGATCTCATTTCAAGATCTAATTTAACTTAATTTGCTCTACAATGACTTATTTTCCACATAAGTTTTGGGAATCAGGCACTGGAGGTTAGTATATGAATCCACCATTCAGCTTGTTGCAATTCTCCTAGTTATTTCTTTTGACATTTACCTCCACATTTTGCAATAAACATATACTGCTTTCTCTTGCTTCCAGTTGAGAGACTGCTTACCTTCTGTTAGAATAGGCGACTAGCTGGCTTCTTTATCCATCCCTTCCCCCTTTCCACCCAGTCTTTTCAGTACAGTTATGTCAGTTTTTAGCCAGTTATGACCATTTTCTATGATTACTGTGTTAATATTGTTTTCTGCAGAGTTGTTAAACCCTTTATTTTCCTTAATAATTCTCTTTTTAAAACATTTTCTGTGTAACTGTCCCTTTTTCTTATATACTCTATAAAGTTAGCATTATTAATTTTTAAATATTCATATATATATCAGACAATTCCATTAAGATTTTCCTTGTTCTAATTTGGACTCGTTATGCTTTGATCCTGCTGGGACTTCTTGTCACATTTGTAGAGCTTTCAGCTTCCTGTTTTCTGGAAGTATTTTCTCCTACCCTGTGGGGAGAAAATATTTTGAGACTTGTATGTCTGAAAATGCCTTAATTGTACTTCATTTGAAAAACTTAACTGGGAAGAGAATGTTATATTTAACTTGCTTCCCACAGAATTTGGAAGGCATTTCAAGATGCCTTGTCCATTGTCTTCTATAAGACTAGCTGTTAAGTCTGATGCACTTCTGATTTTCATTCTTTGTATGTTTTTGCCTTTTCCTCTCTGGAAGCATCTGAAATTTTTTGTTTGTCTCTGGTGTTCTCAAGCTCTTTAGTATGCCTTCATGTGGGTCTTTTAAAATTCATTGTGCACGAGTTGTTTGAGTCTGGGAGTGTGTTTTTTGGTTAGAAACTTTTGTTTTCTAAAATTCTAAGTTGGATATGGCCCTGTTGGTTGTTTTTATTTGTTTCACAGCTTTATTGCGATAGTTAACATTTTCTTGGCCTCATTCAATTCTTTGTTGAATTTTTTCTTGTAGCTCTCAGGGTTTTGATTTCTAAGGGCCCTTTCTTGTTTTTAATTGGCTGCTCCTTGTTTTATGGGTGTAATGCCTTCTTTTAGGTCTTTGGAATCTATGGATCTTTTGAAAAAAATTTTTTTTCAGAGTTCCTTTTTTTTTTTTCTTTCCTCATTTGGTCTCTTTGATGTCGAAGTCTTTTCTTCAAATGTTTTGCCATCCTTGGTTATCTGTTCATATATGATGAGGCTCATAACAGATGAGGCTCTAAGAAAATAAAATACTATGGGGCCTCCCCTGGTGGCGCAGCGGTTGAGCGCTGGGTTGCGAGGCTGCCCGCAGCCTCTGCAGCACCAGTTCGATCCCCGGCCATCGGTGAGGGTCCCACCAAAAAAAAAATTAAGTAAAATACTACGTTTCAATAATATGCTTGTAGAGAATAAACTAGTGGGGCAGACATTACTGAATTTTTAAAAGTTTAGAACTTTTGTGAACCATTGAAGAGTTATGGGGCAAACAGTAGAATGTCCTAAGATTTACCTTTTAGGTAAGTGAGGAGACTATTGAAAAGGGCTAAAACTAGTTCAGAGAAACTAGTTAGGAAATGTAATTTAGTTCAAATGAAGTCAGCCAGATTAGCTAGAATAGAACAGTTGTAGCAGTAATGGAGAAAAGTGGCTCCCCTGAGGGAGACATGGGGACAGAATTTCATAAGAAAAAAGATATACCTATGTACAGGACACTTTGATCCTGATATATGGCCTGTCTCAAACGGTGGGTGTAAGATAGGCATTGAAGCCAGATTGCAGTGGATTTAAAGACTAAGTAGGAAGCGGGCCTCCCTGGTGGCACGGGGGTTAAAGTCTCAGTGTTATCAAGCTATTGCCAGCCACTGCGGCATGACCCCGGCCAGAGAGCTGACCCACAGGGCACAGCAGACCTCTCCTGTCTCATCTGCCGCTCCCCTCAGCAGTGTATTTCAGTCGATCCACCTGTTCTGCTCCCCACTCTGTCTCTGGTGAATCCCCCACCCCGTACCTCTGGCCTACACCCCAGTTCTTGTATGCATAAATAAATAAATTTTAAAAAATAAAAAGATTAGGAAGTAAGAGGTGGTGAATTGACCATTACATAAAGGTTTGTAACTTTTCCTCCCACTGTTCTCCTTTTTTCTTACTCTCTTTCACCCTCTGCTCAAAAGAGTGGGCTACAATAGCCCTATCCAACAGAACTTTCTGCAATGATGTGTTACTTATCTGTATTGTAGTAACAGTAGTCACTAACTTACAAGTCTGTTAACTAGACTAGAAATGTGGCTAGTGCAAAAATTGAGGCATGCAATAAATAAAAATACACCAGAATTCTGAAGATTTACTGTGGAAAAAGGAGACATGTAAAATACCTCAATTTAAACATATTTGTTAAATGTTTACTATTTTGGCTATAATGGATTAAATGAAACATTGAAATTAATTTCACCCATTTTCTTTTTTTGATATGATCACTGGAGTCATGACTACCGTTTGTGGTTCTAATTATATTTCTACTGGGTCTCAGATGGTGTATGTAATTTTTTGACCTTTCATAAGATTGAACAAAAAGATGAAGGACACATTGAGGACAAATAAAAGAAGACTACTGGATTAAAAAACTTAAATTTCATAGCATTTTAATAGCTAAATATAATAAAACAATAGATTGTTACAGGATTTCAACCAGAAATTTAATAGCCAAGACTAAATGAGCCTGTAGAGATCTAATACTTGGCTCAAGCAGTATCGTGTTTTTTCCTTCTCATCCCCCATTTCTGGGTCATGTGTATGCTTCAGCTATGAATTTTATATCAGTATAATTTAAAAAATTATATTTGTTATTTAATGACGTATATTGGTGTTTTCTTTAAGGTTTCTGTTAGTTGCCATACTTTTGAAAAAATATTTCTCACCCCCAAAATTATAGTCCATATTTTAAATCTTTATCTTTTGTAGTATAGGCTCTGAGGAACCAAGTCTTAGTTTTTACTTGTTTTCATGACATTTATTGAAAACTTTCTCTCCTTATTTGTTAGAGTCTGAAAAAAATAAAAAATAATAAATAATTGAGTCTGTTTCTGGAACTGATAATTGTTTAAACAGTGATTTTCTGGTTTAGCAAAGAAAGGCATTTTGCTTTACTGATTATGCACACTAGCTTTTATTTTCATTTATTTCATCATTGTGGCTAAACAGGTTAAATTAAATATTGGGTTCAATATAGAATTAATATAAATTCTGAACTTGGATACTGCATGAACATTTGGAGCTTTAAGCATATGAATTTGTCTGCATAAGTATTTTTTGTTTGAAAAGTTCACATCAAAAAAGGAATAAGTAGTTCATTTCATTCTTATTCCTTATATTTTAGGTGATCTGTAAATCAGATGCTCCAACAGGGGATGTTCTTCTTGATGAAGCTCTAAAGCATGTAAAGGAGACTCAGCCTCCGGAAACTGTCCAGAACTGGATTGAATTACTAAGTGGTAAGCTGCTGTGTGGAAACTAAAAACTGAATTCTGTGTAAAAGATTTTTATAAAAGTTTAAACATTTTGAAAGAAACTATTAAGCATATTAGCCAAAGGTGGTTTGTATTTAGGCAAACTTGTTTGTTATCAGTCACTGAACAGGTGTTTTTTAAAGTTTCATTTCCTTTAATAAGACTGAGTAAATTTAAATGAAATGTACTGTTCTTCTTACAGCCCCATCATTCTTTATCAAAATTGCATCTTATTCCCCTATGTGAACAGAGTAGGTTAAGCTATGGTAACAACTCCAAAATCTCAGCATAAGACAATAGATTTTTTTTTCTCACTTACGGTTTAGGTCAGTGACAGGCCACTTCATTTTCACTCTGGCAGTCAAGCAGATGGAGTCGCCGCCATCTGGAGCATTGTTAGTAGACATTATTATAACGGGAAGAACAGAAAATGGCTCACATGCTTAACCCTTTGCACTCCGCTGTCCCCTCTCAGGGGCCATCGGAATTCTAGCATATCACTCGGATGTCCCCTCTCAGGGGACATTGCAATTTATTAGTGATTACGGGGAATTGAGTTATTTCAACGCAACTTTTTGAGACATGCATGTTTCCCTGAAGTTTTATCTTGAAATGGCACAAGAAATTAAATCAAAATATCATAAAATTACTAAGATATATACAAGAAATGTCAGCGGGTTTTGTGTCGGACGAGAACGTGAGATGCGTGCTCACGACGGTCTGTGCACTTCGTGACGCCACTTGAAAAGAGCGATAAGGGGAGTTTGTAGAAGAAAGGTCGATTTTTGAACATAGTGCGCACTGTATAGTGAGATACATAATTACAAATAAACAAGTCTACATCTGGAGGAAAAGATTTTCAAAGCTGAGCTCATTTTGGTTTGAAGCTTCGAGCAGTGCACATAGATCTAACGAGGAGAAAATCGGAAAAGTGATTCTTTTCTTAGTGAATAAATTGTTTGGTGAAAGCTATTTTGGTAAATATCATCTTGTCAGTTAGTAATAACAATTAGAAATTTTCAACCCATGCATTTATTCATATTTTTTATTAGAACAATGGCCAAGCGTCCAACCACGAATGAGTCTCATGACACAAGTAGTAGTGAAGATGAGCTCCAGATAGACCTCTATACAGACATGTCAAACATGCACTCATCAGCCTGCAATGCATATTGGGGAGTGTTACAAAACTTATCATACTGTACAAAATTATAAACAATAAAATATCGGGTTTTTTGCAAATATACATTCCTCGACGTCACCCAATTCATATAAGTCCAATATCATTATAATACGTTACTTGGTTCCAAAATTATACTAAATAATACAAGGGTCTGTAAATGAACGTTTCCGCCGCAAAGTAGCGTCGAGTACCTGGTAGCCAATGTCCAGAATGGTTCGGACGTAATGCAAAGGGTTAAGTTTCTGCTCAGAAATTATTTGTGGTTTGATTGGTCAGAGCAAGTCACAAAGCTTTTCATCACTCTGAGGAGACAGGAAAGTGCAACAGTATGGAGGTGAACCTGCAGTGTTTGAGTGACAGCCCTGACGACAAGTATATTTATATTAAAGTTATTCGTGTGTGTGTGCGTGATCGTCTACATTGTGCGCTTCTTAAGTATAAGGACCTAAGTTACCTTGCTCTTCTCTCCTGTTAATGCAGAACATAGCTTCTGCATATGTCTATTGTCCTTCTATTTCATGTTCAGACATAAGGCACTTTCGAGTAAATATTTTAAACACATTTAGATATTGTTAGAGATGGGCAAATAACATGTGGTTAGAGGGTGAAAATGTAAGATAATGGCTGCCTCTGTCTCCTCCAGAGATAGGAGCATCTCCCCACTTGTTTCTCGCCCAGATGCTTCTTCCAAGTGTCTGTATGTCTCTCTTCTGTGTGTCTTCTCCAAGTCTACTTAGCGGTACCAGGGTGCAGGTTGGCACTGCAGAGGCAAGAGAGAGTGCACACCTGCTTTCTCAGCATTGCGTGGGTCCACCTGTCCACTAACTGACTCTTGTTCCTAGTAGCTCCCTGCTCAAGAGTCTAGATCAAGGCATATTGGGACTTGTAGCTGAAGGTGGCTGCTTAAGTGGGAGTGAAAAAAAAATGGTGTCTTCCCCTCTCAACTTACTACGGGTTTCATTTCATTATTTATACAGTATATCTATACATACTAAAACTAAGGATATATTGTAAACATTATATATCTTAAAAATTAATAAATATATATTTAAGGCGAAGACTTAAAGTTGAAATACTACTGTTTTTTTAATAGAGTTCCTATCTTTTTTAAATATTAAGACACGTAGTTGGTCAGTTCGGTCACAAGGTGTCACTAGACTGCCACATTTTTAAACCAAAGATGCTTTTTGTTTTGATGGCATATGGAAGTTTTTTGCAGTGGAATAATAGAGGTACTTGTCAGTATGTCATTTTCCACTTTAATGATTGTTGGGCAGTAGACATAAATAACTTCTGAAGAACTTTTCCTCACTGTTCATACTTAAAATTTCTTTTGTAAAAAAGTGAATTATAGGGGGCCTCCCTGGTGGCGCAAGGGGTTAATAAGCACCACACTATGAAGCAATCCGCAGCCTCTGCAGCACAAGTTTGATCCCCGGCCAGCCTGGGAGCAACCCACATGGTGCAGCAGACCTCTCCTCTCTCGCCCGCTGCTCCAATCAGCAGTGTATTTCAGTCAGTCTGCCTGTTCTGTTCCCCACTCTGTCTCTGGTGAATCCTCTCACCCCCCTCATCTCTGGCCTGTACCCTAGTTCTTGTATGCATAAATAAATAAATCTTAAAAAAAAGTGAACTATAAATTCCATATATTTTTAATTTGACTTGTATTAAGTTATTTGACTTCAATGGTGAATAATCTAGAGACTGAGGAATAACAGTAAAAACCACAATAATGTTTTTTAATCTAGAATTTACAGCACTACTGATTACATAAATGACTGATCATTTATTACAGAGTATTCAAAAGTTATTCACTATTCAGCTTAAATTGAAGCAACTAAATGTTAAATGTTCACAATCTATTGTAGGCAAAACCTTTACTATATTTTCTTATCACTCATTCTACTACCCTGTCCCCATCCCAGCTTAAACTCTGGTGTTTTATATATGCTAAAGTGACTTTATTCTTTGGTCTTAGGTTAATTTTTTTTTTTTTAATGAAAAAATTGACCACTTAGTTATGCTAACATATATACCTAACTACCGGTAAAGAGGAAACTTCAGTGTTTCTTCCATGGGGCTTCTCTGTCTCACAGGAATCGTCAGATTGGTTTGGGCTAGTGACCATTCTTTGACCACGTAGTTATTTCATCGTGCCTTTTATTGTGCCAAAAATAGTATTAAATGATATTTGCATATAACCTATACTACTTCAACCTTCTACTTATGAGGTTTCTTCTTTTTTTCCAAATATCTGAGGAGATCTGAATAAATACTTCTGTTGGTGTGAACGAACACAAGGTTTACAACCTTGCCCAGGGAATTGCTACAAAAGATGATGATGGCTGAGTCCTTTATTTGCTCTGGGGCAAAAATGATTGCCCCTAAGATGGGCCAGTCTTAAATGGAACACCTTATTTGAAAGTGTGTCTGTCTTCAGTCTCTTCTCATTTTTAGTAGCAAACTAAACTGTCAGCATATTTTGGAATGGAGTAATTTCTCCCAGATTTGTAAACATTACTTATTTCATTGGTTCTAATGTATAAAATAAATTGTGGATAAGAGATAGGTAAACTTGGTGTGATTGTAATACAATGGTCATTAAATCATAAACTGTTAATCCTGTTTATTTTCCATGAGAGAAAAAAAGTAATTGTAGCACCAGAGGAATTTTTGAAAAAATTTTTTTTTTTTTTAGGTCTGCAAAGGGAAATTTAACGATGGGTTTCTTAAAATAAGCTTGATTTTATTCCCCCTGTCCCCTAGTTTGAAGCATAGGATACTTCCTGTTTCACTAGTGAGCTGCTAGGGAATAGTACTTCTTTCATAATTGGCAAATTATTATAAGCATAATTAGAGTTGAACTTTTTTTAAAAAAATAAATGCGTCTGTTATTTGATTAAGTTTAAATTTCCGAAAGTCAGTTAAGACTGTCAGAAAACATACCACTCAAGTTTAACCTAGTGTCTTAGCCTTCCAGTGACATTAGAAAACAAGACAAAACCCAACTGCTGGTGAAAGGTGCAGCAGATAGGCCTTGTTTGGGAGGTGTGAGTTGGTACAACAGTTGAAAAATGCAAGCCTGTCCTGTTGACAGGAGACGTGTGCCTCTCGCCAGGGCTCATTACACTTTGCTTGTAATTGCTGCCGGTTCACTCTGTCTTCTCTTCTGCCTGGAATGTAAGCTCTTCTTCCTTTCATAGAATGTTGAATGCCCTTGAATTTCAGGATTTAAAGTTCTCTCCCCTGTAAGGTTCCTAGAATTAGCCCTTAACATCAAACCCTAGTAATTTCTTAACCCTTTGGATACTCGTTCACACTGTTTATGGCTCTATTCATATTTTATTCTGGCCAGTATAGTTTGTAACATTGTTTATCTATTTTCTTCACTTGATTTTAAATTTCTAGACTTAGAAATATGTCTTTACTTATGCTTGTAGTCTCAACTCCTAATACAGTTTTTAGCAGCATTATAAATCTGTCAGTCTGCTGATTCTTTCACGGGTAAATAGTAATGGCTAACATTTATTGAGAGCTTGTCATATACTGAGAACGTGCTGTGTCTTTAACTCATTTAATCTTCATAGTCTATGAGCTGGATATAGTTGCCTTCACTTTAGGTGAGTATGTGGAGGAATAGAGAGGTTAAGGAACCTTGCTCAAGGGCACACAGCTAGGAGTTGAGTTGGAATTCAAATACAAGCAGTCTTAACTCCATAGCTTGCTGTTATAACTTATGTTCTAATGCTTCATCAAGTTAACTATTACTGATTTCTTAACAGTAAGTATAGATGTGGACTGTTTAACACCAGAAATTGAAATAAGTAGAATTTCAATTACTATTAAAGGTAAATTTTTTTCTTTCACTAGGTTTTAAACTCTAATATGGCCTCATATATTTCGGCTCTTTTCCTTTTTCAAGTTGCCAAGGTAATTGAATGCAGTGATAAATTTTGTAGTGGAAGTTGATTTGTTTGGCCATTCAATTTATTTGAAAAAGTTATTTTTTTTTAAATACAGGAAATGACTTCAATTTCCAAACTCATGGTACCAGCCCTTCATAATTTGACAGTTTTTCCCCCCAAGTCGCTGGTTTTATAAGGTGAATCACAAAATACAAAATGGTAGTTCCAGATAATTTACTTTTTTTTTTTTAAAAAAAGATTTATTTATACATTCAAGAACTGGGGTGTAGGCCAGAGGTGTGGGGGTGGTGGTGGTGAGAGGATTCACGAGAGACAGAGTGAGGAGCAGAACAGGGAGATCTACTGAAATACAAGGCTGAGGGGCGCAGCGGGTGAGACAGGCGAGGTCTGCTGCACCATGTGGGTCAGCTCCCTGGCTGGGAATCAAAGTCATGCTGCAATGGCTGGCAATAGCTTGGTAGTGCTATGTCTTAACTCCTGCACCACCAGGGAGGCCCCTAGCCCCTTATTCTTTAGTGTTAAATCATATGGTAACACGACTTTGTCTATGGCTAATTGAATAAAAATATATTTTGAGATAACATTGTCCATTAGAACTTTTATGTAATGATGACCATGTTCTGTTTTTGTGCTGTCCTTTCAGTAACTGTTAGCCACACATGACTGTTGGACACTTGAAATGTGACTACTACAACTGAAATACTGATTTTTAAAATCAGTTTAAATTGAATAGCCTGTGTGGTTAATTGCTCATGTAGTGGACAGTGCAGTTAAAGGTTTTCTTTTAACATAGTGAAATTTTAACCTTGTAGCTTTTGCACAGTGATCTTTTCATGTCTCAATTTAGAAAATAACTTTTTTTAAATTGTAAAAAGCTACATGTTTATTGGAGATCCTTTGGAAAATAAAGTACAAAAAAGAAAATTTAGCATACACAATCCCAAAGATAATCAAGATTAATACTTCTGTAAAGAAGAAAAACTATTTCAGTGAAATATCATCTGGTTTCACTTTAAATGTTTCTCAGTCTTGGAAGGAAATTCATATAGATGACAAGCTTAAAATGGGGAAAATATTTTGTCCACTTAGAGTTAACTTTATCTGTTGTCAGCCAGTAAGGGTGTCTAGACAGGCTTTGCTAGCTTTATAGACCTTGTATACGTAGCAGTTTCAGCAATAGCATGTAAATCAGGAAACTTTTTCTTTTGTCCACTTGTTCCAGACTGATATTTAACAGAAAAGAAATACATTATTTTGCTATTAACTTTTCCTTTTTTTAAATATTTATTTATGCATACAAGAACTGGGTTACAGGCCAGAGGTGTGGGCAGTGGGTGAGAGGATTCATCAGAGACAGTGGGGAACAGAACAGGCGGATTGACTGAAATATACTGCTGAGGGAGCAGCAGGCAAGACAGGAGAGGTCTGCTGCACCATGTGGGTAGCTCCCTGGCCGAGGATTGAACTTGTGCTGCAGAGGCTGTGGACAGCTTCATAGTGCTGCGACTTAACCCCTTGCGCCACCAGGGAGGCCTGCTTATATTTTTTTGTTTTAATTAAGACATTGTTGGTTATTAGCTGCTTTGTGACAATAATTGGAGAGAGGCCAAGCATAATTTAATATTTGATCTCTGTCCATATTAGAATAATGGTGACTGGGCTTGAAGATTGCCTTCTGTATGGTCTTTTGTGCCTGAAAATGTGCAAGGAAAGGCCTAACCCTCAAGGAATTCATGATTTAGTCAGGTAGAAAATGTAGTTGGATTTTCTTTATTTCTCTGGAGGAAAGTAATACAATTTTTACTGTAAAATTTCATTTTAACTACAGAATCTTACAGAACTACCAGACAATATCTACTATTTCTAACCTGTCGTTTCTGACCTCTGAAATTTTTTATTTAGGTGAGACATGGAATCCATTAAAATTGCATTATCAATTAAGAAACGTACGGGAACGATTAGCTAAAAACCTAGTGGAAAAGGGTGTATTGACAACAGAGAAACAGAACTTCCTACTTTTTGACATGACGACACATCCCCTCACCAACAACAACATTAAGCAACGCCTCATCAAGAAGGTACAAGAAGCTGTTCTTGACAAGTGGGTGAATGACCCCCACCGCATGGACAAGCGCTTGCTGGCCCTCATTTACCTAGCCCACGCTTCAGATGTTCTGGAGAATGCTTTTGCTCCTCTTCTGGACGAGCAATATGATTTAGCCACCAAGAGAGTGAGGCAGCTCCTCGACTTGGATCCTGAGGTGGAATGCCTGAAGGCCAGCACCAGCGAGGTTCTGTGGGCGGTGGTGGCAGCGTTCACCAAGTAACTGCTCAGAATGAAGTGTTTTCCTATCCCTTATGTAAACCAGTAGTTTATTGACTTCTGGTTTTCTGCAATTTGTACTTTCCACACTATAATTGGCCTTTGTTTTAGGAAATGGTGGGTGGCTTTTTCTTTTTCCTATGTATGCAGGATTCTGCTGGTACGAGAGGCCTTCCTCTTTCTGTTTTAAAACAAGTTTTACTGCCATATTGGCATTCCATTCCTTGTTGCCATTGTCACTGTTACCTGTTTGCGGTTTCTGGTATACTTTGACTTTCAAAGTACCTCCAGTCTTCTTACATGCACATCTTCTGGATTACCTCAGCTTGAGTTTTCCCCACATGTGCATGTACATCTAGCATTCTTCCTACAATTCAGATGGAAGTCACAAAAAGGCCTTCAACTCACCAAAGGTAAATATCTGTATCTATTAGGACATTTTATACATAGACCTCAGTTGAGATGTATACTTAACAAAATTATTTTTAAATTGAGACAACACAGTAAATAATATAAAATGCCCCTTGGATTTTGCTTCCCATGTAAATCTATTGTATTATTACACTTGCTATAATTTTACCTATTAAATCATAAAGGTCCAATTGTTTCACAGAATGGTTTGGCTGCGATGGGCTGCATTCCAGTTACACTGTATATAGTTTGAATTATATATAAATTGTCCCTTCTTCTGGCCACCCCTGCCTCCATCTTAGTATTTTGCAAGATTTAATTAGTTGTACACCTGGTATCCCTCACTTGCTTCAGTCATTATTATTTGATGACAAAATAGACCTGTCATCATTGAAGGGGAGTGAAAAGATACATGTTTGATTAGTCCCAAGGTTTTTGCGCTATGCCTTTCACAATATTCTGCCTGTGTATCTCCTGTTCGGAATTTTTTTTTTTTTTTGTCTTACTGTTTTTATTTGTATAGGGAAGAGGCTTGTGACCAGTACTGCTCTTGAGTACAGTTGTTTTTTTCCCTGTCCACACGTAAATTAATGTCTGCTCTTAAGTGTCATTTATCTGCTACTCATACTTTCTTGGGAGGGAGAATCGAATGTCAGTCCTAGCAGGTGTTGCATGTAAATTGTTAGGAGGTAATGACTACAGCTCAGATGATTAAGAATTTTGTAACAGAAAGCTCTGCTATGTTTTAATTTTTATATACAATTATGGTAATTAGCACATTGTAAGAATATAAGCCTTTGCTTTTTAAAGTTTATTTTTACTATTTCTTTATCACTGTTTATCGCATCATTGGTTTCTTGATGTAAATACTATATATGGAACAAATTAAATGTCAAATTTTTTATTACCATAGTTCATGTTAATAGTGGGGCTTTCAGGTGTTTAGAGATTTTTTTGGTTAACATTCACTGCAAAAGTACTAGATGGTGTATAACTCTACAGTTGAATTTTAAAGGCTTCCCTAATATGTAAGCTATCTTTTTATCTGAAGTAATAAATAAACTATGATCTTGAAAGTGCCTGAATCAGAGCAAGCATGTCATTCGTATTTTTGTATTCTGCCTTAGTTTTCTTTCTAATGAAGTTTTACTTAGTATTTCTATGGTGTGGTCGTGTTTCATGTGGGTTCTCAACCTTCATAGGGCCAGATAGTAAATATTTTAGGTCGTGTGAGCCATTTATGGTGTCTGTTGGCAACTACTCAGTTCTGCTGAATGAATGTTGCCATAGATAATACAGATAAATGGGTGAGACTGTGTTCCAATAAAACTATTTTTTTTTAAATAGGTGGCCATAAATAATTTGCCAATCCTGTCTTAAAGGCATGGAAAAAGACAGGTGTTCCAACCACTACAATGGCTTTCTCCCAGAAGTTATACCATTGGTGGTAATTAAGTATGGATACTATTAATGTATAATTTTTTCTCATAAAATGGATACTGGACATTGATATCAATGTTCTTGAATTTATCAGGTGCAGATTTACTCTTTTTCTCTTGAAAATATTTTAGAGGTAATTGGTGTTTCTAAAGAATTCTTCATTAGCAGCAATTTTATTTCAGACACGGGGTATACAGTCTCACCTGAGTTTCTGTCAGTGTTTGTTTCAGAGCAGAATTCCTAGTCAGCTCTACCTATATGTGGCCTCAATTCTGTATTTCTATATCCAGAGGAGACGAAAGGTGTTACTGTTTGGAGGGGGAGTGTGTTATTAGAATGCTTTTTATTAGAAAATACTTGCTGCTTACAGTGCTCTTTATTTAAAACAGGTATGGGGCAACCACTGAAATAATTCTAGTCCGTATGGTTAAGAGTAGATTTATGATTTATGCACTTTGGTTAAAAGTCTTCAGATCCAAGAATCAGGCAGTGAATTTTAATAAAACTTAAAGATGTGTGAAAAGAATTAGTAGCTGGCTGCTGTGTTTTTTTTTTTTTTTTTTTTTTTTTACTTCATGTGTTGTTTAATTGATGAGTGTTCCTTAAAATAATGTGCTCTAGAACAATGCTGTAATAGAAGGGAAAGAGAAAGCTTACTCCTTTCTGCATTTTGAGTGCATGTCCTGTGCTCTTGTTTTAACCTTTTCAATCCCCAGTTACTGTCTTTATTCAGGGAAGAAAAAAGCTTGGAGAAGATGATTGGTCTAATCTCACATTTATCAGATAAGTGTTTTTAATCCTGAAATGATCAAGTAGCAGTAATGGCATTCAGCTACAGATTTTCCCTTTCTTATTCGGGTACTAGAAGGGGTGGAGGTGAGGCTTCTTTTCTCTAACAGACAAAAACCATAATAGTAGATATGCAAAATATTCTTATGGTGCAACTACATTGATGATAAAAGGACATCCCTGCTTTATTCTACTACCTTGGTATAAATTTCATAAACTCTCCTTGGGGATGAAAAAAATTGACCAATTCTGTGTGTTCTCAAAAGAAACAACATAATCTGCTGAAACAAGATTGGCCAGTGGTATTGGACACATTTCATCACTCAGTTCTTTCCATTATTGTGAACAGATGGTTTTACAAACCTTAAGTTTGGTAGTATGGAAAGTGACAGGAACTGATTCCTGGTTCAGTGCCAGTGCAGGAGCAATATGTAATGACATCCAGCTTGATTATGACAAAGGTCCATCACTGCCAGATATGGCTACTCTTGCCCCAGGAGTATGGAAACCACCAGTCACAAGTCCATGTGAGGTGTTTATGAAATTTAATTACAACTCCGTGCCTTTCTGTCTTGTACTAGTTTCTTATATATTGTCAGCTAATAGTGCTTCATTTACCTTTCATTCAGATCAAGATGATGGGCAACCTGAAGTAGTTTCCAATTCTTTGCAGTCTATCTGCTGGGTCCCAAGATGACATCCCTGGCTCTGGTAAGTTTTGCACTTCTCAGATATTTTTTAATAGCACTAGTAAGGTAGTGATATTAATGTTCATACCTTGTGGGCTATCCTTCAAAGGGCTGTTGATGGTAACATAATAAATTGATAACTATACTTCTTTAACCCAATGTTAATAGTTATGTAGGTATTTCTGGTAGATCATAATGTATAATAATATGATTCCCACTGTTGTCATAAGCTAGTTTGCAGATTGCTTTTTGCTCTTAACTCATGGGGAGTTTTTGGAATAAGCACACATCATTTCTGGCTTCATTGTATAATTTAAATTTTCCACTAGTGAACATTTGGATATTAGGTTTTTTTATTATTGCAGAGTATTTTAATACACACTTTTGTACGTCTTTGATTTCTAGAGGAGGCATTAATAGAAATGAATTTGCTCAAAAAGTATGCCTTGAAAATGTAAAAGATAGAGCCATATTGATTTCTAAGATTTCTGTTAACGTACTTTACCCAGTAATATGGCTGCTGGTTTCCTCCCAACCTAGCCAGTACTTTTACAAGCCGTCATCAATCCTGGTTCCTGCTAAGCTAATAGGGAAGAACTATCAAATTTTATTTATTGGGGATTGATTATTATTTACTATCTTTATTGGTAATGGGTGTTTTCTTCCTGTGAATTACCTGTTCCTGTTCTTTATCCGTTTTCTTAATAAGCATTAATGTTTTTATGTATTGACTTATCAGGACTTTCCATATACTGCGGGTGTTAGCTCTTTGTGATACAGTTGTTGTCCCAGTCTTTGGTGTTTGGTGGGTTTTTCAAAAAATACTCAGAAATGCTTAGGTTTTCTTTTTTGGGGAATCCCAAAAAAATGGCTTAATATCTTCTATATTGGTCAGTTTTGCTTTTGTTTTTTTTTTTTTTTTCTTTAAGTGTTTCAATATTGTTAATTCACTGTGAATGATCTTTCTAGCTTACTCTTTTCCAAAATTAATGTTTTTCTTGTTTTAATGAGTTTTCTTAATTTCAGTTTATATTATTCACTCATTTTGTGTTATTTTCTTGATACGTTGTAACTCATTTTGAGACAGTAAGTTATAGTTTTCATTGGCTCCTGGCCATGTGTTTCCTGGTGTGCTTTTGTTGTCTATAGGGATTATATTTGCTCTTTATGCTCTTTTTTCTTAAAATAGTTTAGTATGGGGTTTAACCTAGGTTATTTTCTATTACCCCTTTTTGTATGGAATTACTTTTCCTGGGCCTCCCCTGGTGGTGCAGTGGTTGAGCGCTGGGCTGCGAAGCTGCCCGCAGCCTCTGCAGCGCCGGTTGGATCCCCGGCCACCAGGCGAGGGTCCCACATGGCGCACAGACCTCTCCTGCCGCCCCTGCTGCTCCCCTCAGCAGTGTATTTCGTCAGTCTGCCTGTTCTGTTCCCCGCTCTGGCTCTGGTGAATTCTCTCACCCTCCCACGCTTCTGACTGTACCCAGTGCTTGTATAAATAAATAAATCTTTAAAAAAAAAATTGCTTTTCCCATTTATGTCCCTTCATAGTTTTGTGATTTGTTTAGGTCTCGCTAGTCCTTGCTAAAGTTAATCGTATTTTCAGTTGTTGTGACTAGGTGTTCTTTCCCAAAATGTGTTCTGCTGTAATAAATAGGAAAGCTTTTGTTTGGTGAATGATTTTTTTTTTTTTTTTTAAGATTTGTTCATGTATGCATACAAGAACTGGGGTGTAAGCCAGAGATGTGGGGGGTGAGAGGATTCACCAGAGACAGACTGGGGAGCATAACAGGCAGATCGATTGAAATGCACTGCTGAGGGGAGCAGCGGGCGAGACGAGAGGTCTGCGCCATCTTGGTCACCTCCCTGGTGGGGGATCGAACTTGTGCTGCAGTGGCTTCAGATAGCTTCATAGTGCTGTGTTTTAACCCCTTGTGCCACCAGGGAGGCCCCAAGTTTTGGTGAATGATTTTTGGTAGCCACCTTACTATTCTCATATTTTAATAGTTTTTAAATTGATGGATTTGTGTTTACATGTACCAACTATATCATGTGTAAAGTATGATACTTTCGATTCTTTCCACTGTTTATACTTCTGTTTACACTTTTGGCCTAATATGTTGGCTTGTACCTCCAAAACGTTATACAATAGAAACAACAGTGAATATCCTTTTTGTGTGTATTCTGATTTGAATGAGAATGATCAGGAGTTTTTCCATTAGAGTTTGCTCCAGGCTTTGAAAAATTATGTATCAACACCTCTCACAATTTTTTTTTTTTTATCCTAATGTCTTTTCTTATAATACCCTTTTTCCAAATTAAGTAAGTGTTTGGTGATCTTCTTTAGAACTCATTCCATACCACCTTTGCTTTTTCATTCAGCGAGAATTGTATCCCTTTTCATTGTTCTGGTTTAGCTTGGTTTTGGGTTGTTTTGTACATGGTACGTAGTCATCATCATTCATAGAGTGGTGTGTGGCTATTTCTATACTGTTAAAACTTGAGTGTTTCCTTTTCCTTTTTGAATTTATTTTAGTATATTTAGAGAAGGGTTATGTAGACAAGCACTGTGTCTTCCAGGAGGAAGAAAAAAAATACTCAGGTTTGGGTGGACTTAGCCATTCAGAATCTTTTGGGAGTACATAAGGAAAATGTGGTGGGCAGCAAGCTTGCTTGTGTACAGAACTTCTGAGACATAGAGTGAGGGCCAAAGTAACGAGAAGCAGCATTCATGGGAGGGTCTAAGGTGTGAAGCGTTAGGTTTATGGCTGCCAGCTGGCGGAGAGAGAACTGGTGGTGTAAACATAGACCCTCAAATAGCAGTGGAACCCTATCGGTGGAGGGCATCAAATGAAGACCTATAAACCCTGGAGTTCCTCCATTCTCTGGGGTTGTTCATATGCCAGATCCTATTCTTGGGTTTCTGTGAGATGCCACATTGCCTTCTTTCTTGAGCAGCTCTATGTTTGTATCTGTCTGAAAACTGAAAGAGCCTAAATAAACTAGATGCTTTTTCACTCTGTGAAGTAGGATCCCAGACTGTCCACATTTGGAAAAGGTGAATGGGTAGGTGCTATGAGAAAAATGAAGAAATGTACTCGTTACGGAAAAGTGAGAAAAAACTCACAAGGAAACAGTTGCCAAGTATGAGAGTCCAGTTGAGGTTGGAAACTGAGTTTATAGCAGCATCGTTTTGTGTGGTTGCAGAATTTCCTCTGAGAATAGTGGGAACCTATTCTGGGTTGGAAGCGCTCAGGATTAGCTGGAGGGAGGGAGCTGAGCCTATGGACTGGACAGGGGTTGTGCTCTACCATGGGTCTAGAATGAGTAGAGAAGAGAAAGTGCAAGGGTTCTGATGGGTGAGAAAATGGACAGTTGTGAAGGGATTTGGAAGTCTGCAATTGAAAATAAATAGTAGTGGGAGTAAGGGGAGGAGAAAGAGCCAGAAGATTAGGAAGTTGTAAAAGCTTGGGGTGATTGGTTTTAAGATTCCAGAGTAGAACAGTTTTGGGTTGTAGTAGAGCTTGAGTGTGGCTATGGTAGAGAGTAGTTGATTTGAGTTCTGTTGCCTTTGGACCTATCACCCATGCAGGTAGTAATAAACATTTCTTATCTTGGTATTTTAAAAAGTTCTTTATATTGCAGATCTGAAAAGGAAAAACAAACCATAAAGACAAGTAGTAAGCCAAGTGTTTATTTTTTTTAAAATTACTTAAAAAAGGTTGTTTACAGATACGTGGATTTACATAACTTGGCGACAACATTTTTAAAATGTACAGGCTATTTCATATTATTGCACTTACTCTTTAATATATAAGGCATTTTATATTACATAAATAAAGGATAATGTATAATATCATACAACAGATGTGGTGCAATTAAGTCAACCATAAAAGTAAATGAGATGTTTATGGGAGGATAGAAATGAAACCCAGGCTACTTCAACCTTCATGGTATAGATCTTGCAACTATGATTTACATGTTATAACACATACTTACCCTCATAGCTTATTGTGAATGACTGACCAGTTAATAAACCAAAACAATGTAAGTTTTAGCAGGACAATACATTTAGTGTTCACTTCAGGAAGTGTGGGAATTAGACTAATTAGAAATACTAGTCATGCCTTGAACACTGAAGACAAATAAATAGCTTTTTTATCTTAGGGTCACAGACAGTTTAGCTTTTGCTTCTTCCTTTAAATTCCAACTGTAGGCCAGGGATCCCTTCTGGCAGATCTAGTAGAAATGGCTGATGATTTTAACATAGTTTAGTGAGCCAGAGGTCTACCCTTGCACTCTCAGCTGTGAGGATTAGGGACTCTTAGAGGAGACCACCCTGTTACTCCACATTACTCTAAAAATACCTGTCCACAAAGGCCTGTGCATTTATTTCTTACTAGTAGGCACAGCTGGAAGAATGGAGGCAAAAAATAGTTGTTGGTGTTGAATTTCAGTAGCCTCTTGTTATTTAAGCAAGAAAGCAGAAACTGACCCCAAAGACTAAAAAACAATCTAGCATGCACCTTGCACTGACTTCCTATAGTATCCTACCTGCAAATGTAGTGAAAAGTAGAAGCTAAATGAATCAGGTCTTTCTAGCTAATGTCTGTACTACATTCTCTTTTATATAATAAGCCTGTGAAAAAAGGAGGAATTTGGGCTCACACCAGCTAGATACTTCGCTCCCATCTGAGAAACCTCCACAGAGGTTTACTGGGATTGGTCATTTAGAAAAATGATGTACAGAGCACCTCCATGATCAGAGGCCTGATGACCTCAGTTCTTTTCTCTAAGCTATAGATAGACCCAAACTGTAGGTTAAAGAACTCTCCAACATAAAACGTTAGTGTTATCATGCACTGGTGTGCAGTCTTACCCTTATTCCCGGGACTCAGCTGACCTGTGCCTGCTGAGGATTTGGGTTGTGACCACGTAGTTCTGCTCCTTTCCCTTGAAAGAGTGACTCCCCGTTGTTCTCCATTTTCTTCTTCTTACTACATTTTGGCAAATGAAACTGATGATGTGAAGTTTAGAGTAAGAAAAGAAAGTACAGTACGGGGAGAGAAAAGCCAATTTTGTGACAATGATCAGCATATCGAATGGGAATTGCTACTGTGAAGAAGCTTGTGCTTCCTAAAGAGAGCAGCTGGGATAAGTTTCACAAGCAGTGTGTCACAACAGTCCTCTGTAGAGAGACATGTTTGGCAGAAGGAAGAAATTGCAAACAGGAAAACAAAAACAGCAAAGACTTCAGTCACTATAGAGCTATGTCATTATAGCCAGGTGAGGAAAAGAGATTTGATGCATAACCTTTCTTAAGCTTATTGGTAAAAGGGGGAAGGAAAAACCCCCAAACAAACAAAAAAAATTGCCCTTAAAAGGATTATTTTACGTCTGTTTGGATTGTAAATACAATGCATGTCTGTAAATCCAAAGATACTTGATTTCTAAAAATTAAAATCTGTGGTTGGAGAGTACTAAATATGGAAATGGAAACCCAGTGACTGTGATATTTTGCCTGCTTTTGTGTAGAACAGTCTTGAATTCAAGGTTACTCAAGACAGGTTCCCAGCTAGATGCAAGGTGCTTTCAGAGCTGAAACTTTCTGCTCATTCTAAGCAGCAAAGCTCATAGTTATTTTAGTACAGTTTATCAGAACTGCATTTCTGTAAAACAGCCTTACGACTTACACTTTCAGGTCATGATCAGCACTTCCCAGCGATCAATAACCTACTAAGTTGAACTCTGCATCCATATGTTGCACTTTATACTCACTACAAAATACCTCATTTTGTAGTTTACTTTTTCATTTTCGGATAATTCCTGAGCTCAGCCTAACCATTAGGTCATAATTGTTTAAAATTTCACTTTCTTTTCAGGGTAACATACAGACCTACAAGTCTTCCTTCCATGGAATGTGCCTGAAAGCATTCTATTACTTACTTACAAAATTATATAAAACTATAGTCCATTTGTGTTGCCCCTCAGACATTGTTAGCTCCCTGACTGCCAGAATTGGGTGTATTGGGAGAGGTGGCAAAAGGGATGCGAAGTTCTGGCTAAATGTTTCAGATGAAGAAGGGCCACAGCTTGTGTCCCCCTCAGTGAACGTGAAGGTAGGGGACAGGCACTGGAACAAAGGGAACCCTCTCGGCCCAGGCAGCGCAGGCGGAAGGCTGCCAGAGGCCAGCTCCATTGCTGTTGCGCACACAATGTGTCAGCTCAGGTTTAAGTAAAAACTTGGAGATTCTTATAGTCCTTGCCCATAGCACTGTTTGTTATTCCAGGAACCATCAATTACAGAAGTCGTTCGGCTTTGCTAAAGAAAGAAGGAAACAGAAAGTGTGCAAGCTCTGTCAGTGAGTGTCCGCGCTCGTGCTTGTTTCATGAAGAATTCCTGTGCTTTCTAATGACCAACTGCACGGGCCCCTCTGGGACTGATTTCATAATATTCCAGGCATCGAAGTGCAGGAGCCCAACCAGGGGTTTCCCGTTAATGGCAAGAATTTCATCTCCAGCTTCTATCGTTCCTGCTTGTTCAGCTGCTCCACCTGGGAGAATAAAGTCCAATATAGGTTGGTACTTTCACAGCATTGAATTAAATTCCAAGTAAGCTAAAAAAAAATCTGTATTCTTAGGATATATTTCTTAAATGAGACACAAAATGCATATACTCAAAAATTGGACTAAAATGGCAGTCTGGAACCCCTTCCCCTGCCACTTCTCTCTGCCACCTCTCAATAAAAATAAGTAACTGAGGGCCTCCCTGGTGGCGCAATGGGTTAAGCACCGCACTATGAAGCAATCCAAAGCCTCTGCCAGCCAGGGAGCAATCCACATGGCGCAGCAGACCTCTGCTGTCTCTCCTGCTGCTCCCCTCAGCACTGTACTTCGGTCAGTCTGCCTGTTCTGTTCCCCACTCTGTCTCTGGTGCATCCTCTCACCCCCTGCATCTCTGGCCTGTACCTCAGCTCTTGCACGCATAACTAAATACATCTTTAAAGAAAAAAAGCAACTGATAAGGGAAAGATTTTCAATGTAATCAATAGAGTTAATATCTAGACCGGATAAAGAACTACAAATCACTAAGAATAAAGAGAAAGCTGAGCATAGGAAATCAGTTGGTAAAATCCAAATGGTCAATAAATGCAGGAAAACAGGCTCAGCTTATAATTGTTAAACAGATATTGGTTGATAGATCCGAGGAGGTCACGCGTTAGTGGGAAGGATACTGAGTAGCAGTCATACTGGGTTCTGGTGTCAAGTGTATGACTTCAGGCAAGTTGCAAGTTTCTCTAAACTTCACTTTTCTCACCTGCAAATTGGTGATGTCACTATCTGTCTTGTTAGGACACGGGGTTGTTAATGAGATGAGTCTGGTAAACCATGTGTTTTGCAGACCAGAGAAAGACTTTTACATGAGAAACTTCTCTCATTTAAACCGTTGTTATTTTGGGTTTTCTATTATATGTGGCCAAAACAGGGTAAGTCTCTACATTTATTGAGATTTGAAAAAAATGCCCTCTATAAAGCTTCTGTGCCTTTCCCCCAAAAGGTCTTGTATAGCTTTTGACACTTCTTAGTTCTTTACAGTTGTGCACAGAATCTGCATCTGCCTTTTCCCCCATGGAATGCTGTTTTTGAACTGGTCCCATTTAACATATATGTATCTCATTTCCTTCTTGAATTGCTGTATAGTTTCCCCTTTTATGAATGTAATGTAGTTTACCTGTCATTCTGCTGGAGAGATAAACAATATATAACAAGTTAAGTTTCTGTTTTTCATTTTAGCAGGAATTGCCAGCTTTTTCCCCAGAGATGATTGAATACATACTTCCACCAGAAAGTATGAATGCTCTCCTCTTTCCAGATCCTTTACATTAAACACACTAAATTGAGATTTTTTTTAAAAAATAATACCTAATATTACAAGTTTAAGCATCTTTTCCTGTGCCTGAGTGGGTTTCTAGGACGTTACCTTTGTACACTCTCTTAATGAACAGGGGCCCATCTCCAGACATAGACGACTTCCCTCCATCCAGACTCAGTCCCAGCCCAGCCGAGGTCTTCAGCACTTCAACACACAGAGCATCGTGAGCAGCGACACTTCTCCCTGCAGGAACAATGTTTGTGAAGATGGCGATGACAGGGATTCTCATCACCTTCTGTCTAGGTCCCCCCACATACCTCGCCCTGGCACCTCGAGTCTCCGCTAACTTGCACTGTTCTTAACCTTTAAGACCAGTGTTGAGGTTGGTCTTCCAACGGGGAGCAGATTGGCCCTCCTGCTGTACGTGCACTCTTGGTCCTTTTAAGCTTACTGTCTGCAACCATGGGAAAGGCTTTTACACCCCTGCAGAAACCCTGAGAAGCCAGACTGCTCCCGTCAAGCCCCACATTCCTGTGGTGCACGTCTCAGTGAGGACTGAGGTCACACTTAGGGAAGCAAATTTGATTTCCTGTCAACCCTGCTGGCAGCAGAGCCTCATAGGCTGGTACTGAAAACCCACAACACCCAACTGCCAGGACTCAGATGAGACTCTGATCATGGATTCCAAGCTCCCTGGCACCCGTGAGCTTCCTTCCCTATTGGCCACACAAGATCCTGTGATTGGCAACTGCCTCAGGTCACAGCCGTCTTCACACACTAATTGCCTTCATTGCTCCACTTTGGGAGGAGTGTTTCTATGGCGACGCACCTGTTCCCACTTGGTGTACTAGTTTGGAGATGCCAGGCCAGCTCCATCTTGGAGATAGGAAATGTAAACTTGCCTTAGCTGTCCCTTCCACACTGTGTCAGGAAGGGTGGATTGGAAAGGCGTACTTCCTTGCTTGGGCGGCAAAGGAATGACCCCAAACAGATTAAACTGTATACTTAGGGTTGAGGCCAAGCCAGCAGCATCATTTTGAACATAAGGCAAGTCCATTTTCCTGGTTTAAAGAAGGCCCTCCACGCCTTCTGAAGGAAATTTACTCTCAGAAGCAGTAGTTTTTTTTTTTCAGTAAATGGTATTACTTGCTGTTACTGAGGAAAATGGCCCATTATAGTGACTCTCAACTCGAGCCACTGCTGAATTCACCTGGGAACCTTAAAAAGAGGTTGATGCACACCCTTCTCCCACTCCTTAGGGTTTCTGACTTAGCTGGGGAGTTTCCTGGCATTAGGAGTTTAGAAAGCTGCCCAGTGCTCTAGTGTGCAGCTGCTGCATCAAGCCCCGAGTTGGGTGCTCCCGATTGAAGAAATAAGCTTAAGCCCTCCATGTGCTTCTAATTGGGTCTTTCTAGGAGCTGGTTCAAGGCTAGATGCCCCCAAAGGTGCCCGCAATGACAGAAGAACCTTCTGCATCCAAAGTCTGCAAACTGTTAGTGTCAGGAAGTTCCCGGGATCCTGCGGGAAATGCACCCAACAAGATGGTGCTGGACCAAGGTGAGCATAACTGTGTGTTCCCATATGGGGAGAGCTTCAGCTTGTTAGAAGAGTGGAAGTGAGACAACAGAGCAAAGGGAAACCACCCTGCCAGCTCCAAGGCATCTGGACAAGAAAGTTTCACATTTTCCAGCTAAGCCATTACAAATAGCTCAAGCCATAGGAAGTCAAGTTGAGTAGCACTGACTTAATTATCAGGGAGAGATGCTGAGAAGAAACCAAAGGCCCCTCCCAGAAGGCCATGCCCTGAGCTGCTGTAGACTCTAGTCCAGAGGCAAATAGAGTTGCTCCTTGACTGTGAGGGGGCACTACAGAAGCCTGAGGTACAGAAATAGAAGCAGTGCTGAGCTGAGTACTCAGCTCAACTTACTGTGGACCCTGACTAGGACAGTGCAGGGCACAGAGAAAATCTGGCTCTGAACCCAGCTTTTGGTTGACAGGGTTGCGGTCGCTCTTTTTAACACATTTGCTCCCTTATTTTCTTCTACAACAGGAAAGACTACACAACCTCATGTCTCTGAAGGCCAAATGGTTTCCTCCATCACAAGAGTCTCTTTTACACCAGCCACTTAGTCTTACCCAGAAGCTGCAGATATGAAGGGGCGTCCTTCTTAGTAGTCATTTTAAACCTTCAGCTGTATGGCTTTTACTACCATGTAACCTTGTTTTTGCAAAAAGCACCTACAAATACCAGACTACACTTGGTTTCTGACTCAGGTGACAATAGTTATTTTCCTCTGTGTTCAGTCAGAATCTGCCCTGCCAGGTGCCCACACTCTGCTGATCCCCGAACGGGTTGGTGTCTTACCTGTTGCAGGCTCTAGGGGGATGGTTTTTCTGGACAGTGAGCTCTTCATATTGGTGGTGGAAGGCTCCTGCCTGGGTATGGGCCTGGCCTGGCCATTCCCTTTCTTGATGACCACAAGGACGTCTTTGTACAGCTGAGCCTGGTGTAGAACCTTCAGGACATCCCCATGGGCTAAGCCAGCCAGTGAGGTGCCATTGACTGACAGGAGGACATTTCCTCTGTTCACAGTCCCTTCCTGAGACGCTGCCCCCTGAGAAAACACCCTGTGCACCTGAGACAGGAGAGGACAAAAGCCAAGTTCATTTATGACCTCCAGTTAGGGAGATGGTGACTGCTCATGTATAGTGAAGGAATTTTCTAGTGGCAAGTTTTTCTAAATCATGTAACTAGTTGGTTTATCAAAAACACATTCGGTGTGATGGATGGAACGATAAATGTCAGTGGCAACACCTGACATACTTCTGCTCATCTTCTGGCTTGTGTCTAATGTGCCTGGCCCTCCCTGGGGGGCAAAGAAGCTGGCCTTCCTAATGACCTCAAAGGCCTTCAGGTTTAAGTGATGGAAAATTTAAGTAGTTTGGAGAAAAGAAGTAATTTCATAGGCCAATGTGGATTTGTTCAGTTAATTCTAATGCTTAAACATTTGGGTGGACCAGGGTATAGACTGTGTATACATGTATTAGCCTCTAATAGGTCTCTCATTCTGTGTCTGCCAATTCTGTTAAAAATGCATCGCAAAGGTTAGTGAAAATGTGCTAATTTTCCCATTTCTTCTCTTTCGGTGGCAGGAAACAAACACCAGCAGTCTTTGAACTGACTGCTTTGATTCTTGTCCTGACCAAGTTCTGGGGCTGCTGCCTGTGACTTTCCTGAGAGCATCTTGATGTTGTCACTTACCACAATTGGTTTTGGCTCCACATCTGTCCCTCCTGCCACACTGAATCCCAGACTTGAGCCTTCTTTTTTATTCAAGACGATGAAGCAAATGTCTTCTTTATTCTAGTGAAAACAGAGAAAGACTAGTCTATCCCTTGTGCCCGAGTCAGTACACTCTGCTGCGACCCTCCCTGCAGCACAGACCGTGTTGCTGCCAACCCTAGTGGTTCTTTAGGAGCCGTCATGAAATACCGGCCACCCACCCCGAACCCCTGCTTCGGCTACAGGCCCCAGGGAGGGGGGACAGGGGCCCAGGGGAGGGAAGAGAAGCCAGCCTAGCCACTCTAGGCCCCAGGATTGTGTCTCCGAATCTGATCCTAAAGGGAATTCTTTATGTCTTCAATCTAGCACAGTCACTGTCAGCATCAGCGAGACTAGACGGGCCATTTGTTTAATGTCCTCACCTCGTGTTCAGGTCATTACAGTTCCGGTGTGATTACAAACCAAAATATGCTTAAAAAATGTTAAGTTAAAACTAACTCCTCCGCCGTATTGACACTAGAACATTCTTAGCAGTGTCCTAGGGTTAAGTAACAAGACTATCCTGTACCAAAAGATACCTTGCAATAAAAGAGTACAAATTAGCTGGACTGATGTTTCTGATTTTTTTACTTCCTTCACCCATAACCCAGGTGAGATTGAATGTTTCAAATACCCGCATTGCACACCAACAGTAGTAGAAAAAATAACCCTTAAGGAGTGTTTTGATGAAAACAAAAATCACCTCTGTATTCCTAGGGAAGGAACCCAATATTTAAAAAGTGTGTAGTCCAATTGTAAGTCCTGCAGACAAATCCAAAAGCATTTTAAAAATACCTTTTTCAAGAAATTCATGACATTCAAGAATGTCCTGCAGAACTTTTAGGTTTTGGGATTTGACTTTAAGTCAAGTTCAACCATAGCTATGCTCAGACACTGCTCGGTGAAGAGTGATGACTAGGCTTTCTTGACAAAAACAGGAACATACGGCCTTGTCTCATAAATGATCTTTGTGCTTGATGTTAAAATAAGAATACTCACATTTAAATGTCTTACTGGAGCAGAGAGCCAGAATATTTGAAAGTGGCACTCTTGCCTTCAAGGAAGTATCGCTAAAATTTCAGGTTTCTCCAGTTGTGTTTGAGCATACAAACTGCTAGAAGCCAGCAGGCCAGCTGCTGCCTCCAAGAAGCCGAGCACTGGGTCAGGGAGAGCACCTGCACCTTGACGTCAGCTGGCTGAAGTCAGAGGACCAGAATTTGTTCTCTGCTTTTCTGATTTCTCACAGCACCTCCAGAAGGCCACTACAAATTGTTTTGTGCAATCCTATTTTCAGCACTCATGGAAAAAGGCAAAAGCTGGACTCTTCCAGTCTAAGATGGTAAAGACATCTGTGCTCACCACTCGTTTCAATGCAACTCAAGACAGGAAGAACATCAGGGAGAGCAAACTATTCAGATGGAAGTGGGCGTGAGCCCCCTACTGGCCACAACACTCTGTCAGGGTTGGCGGGGGAGGCCCTGGGCAGCCTGGCCACGTGAAAGTCTCCATTTTGGGAGGCTGCTTGAGACTTTGTGGTTTTCTCCTTTGACATTTTACCTAACTGTAGAATGTCAGGAGCCACGGGGGCCTGGCAAAGGGTGACCCCCACCTTGACTGGGAATCCTAGACTAAGACTTGCTGGCATGAAACACTTCTTGTAACGAGTCAGAGGAGGGAGGGAGATGATGGACTAGTCCATTTTACTGAAAGGTGAAAAATACATTTCCTTGTCAATACCTTGCTTTTTTGTCTTGGAGCCTGGATGTTATGGCAGCTCTTAGACCTGGGGGCGGGGCGGCACAGGCGGCGACCCCATTCCCTGGCCGGTGGCTGCGGTAGTTTATGTCCACTGAGGTGGACAGAGGTACTTGGGATATCTACGTGAGAATGGGGAGTAGAAGCTAAGAGGTTTTTTTTTTCTAGTCTACCTGTCTCCTTTCCATCTTGACTCACTTCTTCTCAGAGGCCAAGCCCACAATCCTGGGTAAAGTTAGAATGTCTAGAAGTGGTCTCCGTTGATAGCAGTAATCCAGGTATAATTGCACTCAGGAAATTCTGTTTGTTTGCTTTCTCTAAAATACTCAGGTTCAAATCTCTGGGTAGTTCTAAGAAATTGTTCAGGAAAGCAGTCAGATATGAACCCATGGTGTCTTTTGTTGTTAATTGTCACATCCAATTTATTGAAAGATTATTTGTAACCACTGACTTGAGTTTTTGTCTTGGAGCCTGAATGACAGCAGCTCTCAGACCTGGGCGCGGGGCTGCGCAGGTGGCGACCCAGTCCCCAGCAGGTGGCTCTGGTGGGTCATGTCCACTGAGGTGGACGGAGGTACTTGGCCAGCCTTCCAAGGGGCCTAATTGTGTTTCGAGGACACTCCAAACAAATTCCGAGTTGGGGGCCGGGGTGGGAGAGGATGGTGACTAGCTGACACGGGGGAATTGAAACAGCCGCTTGCGCCAAAGCACCGATCTGGCACCTCACATTTCAAGAAAAAGTCTAGCTTCTGAAACAGGCTCCAGGCAAGACCAGTCACACCGAGCTGTAGAGCTCCCAGCAGCAGGCCCCGTGCTTCCCGCGACTCACCTCTGATTGTGCTTTTGCCTCCTGGATGAGCGTGAGGATGGTCGCGCTGGACCCCACTGCTGACAAAACAGCCTGTAACCTCTGCTGGGCCCCCGCTGAGACGAGAAGTTGATCCAAACTAAATAATAGAAACACGTTTCAGGAATAAAGGAAAAAAGCGGCTCCATTTAGTAAAGGCACATTTAAAAGCATCTCATTGCTCCTAGAGGCAGGTCTTCTTAGTGGGTATTACTGTGGATTCAGGGATCCCGTCAAATGTTAGGGGATGGGTTTAACAGAAAACTTCTGACACATTAAAAAAAATTCTAGACTCGGGAAATACTTTAAAAAGTTAGAAATTTCCTTTTCAACTCCATCTGCACAGGCCCAAATTTTACGGAGGTGCAGCTTCCCTGCCCTCCCACCACTCACGGTGCTTTTGCTACAGAAGCCCCGTTTCAAACCGCATTTTGTCAAGCTCGTCCCTGCTGGCACTTGCACTTTTCAGCAATGACACTCAAACAAAGGGGGGTATATAGGCAGTGAGGGTGCCCGGGATCGGAGCCCGGAGTAGGAGGAGGACATGAAGGGAATCTGGTCAGTGACGTCTGAGGAAAGCGCACAGCTCAGTTGACTGTTCTGATACTGATTTGTTACTTTGGACAAACGGACCAACGGATGGACGGGGGTCAGGCAAGAGGCTACCTTTAGGAGTTGCTGGGTGTGGGCGCACGAGAATGGCTTCCAGATCTCTGTTCTCCTCTAGTAATCTGAAACTATAATAAAACTGCAAAACGTTAATTTACGTAAAAGGAGGGGGGCAGACACTTACTTAACCGACCAGCTTTTTGCAGCAGGCGGCCCCGGGCTGACTTCACCCACGTGGTGGGCTGAATGCGGTGTCCCAGGCTCACTGGCTTGAAGGCTGCTCCCTCCAGCGCAGACCCTGTCCCCTCCCTTCTCGGGGCACGAAAGGGCCGTGGACCCAGTGGGGCCCTCAGCAGGGGCGCCGAGCGGCTTCCTGGGGACGATCTCCAGCTCCGTCTTGAAGAGCACGGCCGTCGGCCCCGCCGAGAAGTCCTCGCTGCAGAGCTTGTCCAGGTCGGGCATGCTGAGGGCCCTCAGCTCCTGCAGCTTCGAGCGGGACAGCGGCGAGTGTTGGGTGTGGCGCACCGAGGACTTGTTCCTCCTGACGGGAGAGGCCGGGGGCTGGGCGGGGGTGGGAATTCCGGAAGGACCAAGGGATTTCTTCGGGTCGGGGTCCGGGGCCTTGTGACCGGCCTCAGCCGGGGCCTGCCGGGGGCCCGTCAGGGTCACGCTGGACGGGGACTTGGTCATCTGGGGGATGAGGGTGCTGGCTTCACTTTGGCTTTCGCTGCAGGAGCTCAGGCTGCGTCTCAGCGACCTCATTGTTGGGTCACTCTGGTGGCTCCCCAAAGCCACACTGCCCGATGACCGTCTGCCAAGGGGAGGCTTGGAGCTCACCGACAAAAAAGGGGAAGCCCCGGACTTGGGGGTGGGCCGGTCGGAATGGGCCAGGTTCTCGAAAGACTTGATCCTCTGCTTGACAGAGAAAAATGAGGTAGATTCGTGGGGCCAGTTCTGCTCGGAGTAGTAATGTCTTCTGGTGACTCTGACCTTGTCGGGGCCGAGGCAGCTCATTTCCTGCCCTGAGAGGGCCTCCCCTGGCCCTGCTGCGGGAAGGCTCCTCTCCTGCAGGGGCTTGACACTGTAGACGCCCTGCCCGTTGGCCAGGCTGAGGACACCGCCTCTGGGCGCCTGGGCCTCGGGGCCGGGGGCCGCGTGCTGGCTGTCCCGAGGCGCGCGACCTGGGCTGTGCAGGGCATGAGCCTCCCGTCCGAAGTGGCTGGAGAACTGGGCGGGCATGGAGTAGGTCCTGGTCGCTGGCCGGGGCGTGAAGTAGGGGTGGTCCTCCAGCGCCGGGCCCGGCGGGATGCCGTTCTGGGCCATCCCCTGGGGGTCGGACGTGGGGTTTGACGTTCGCTGGGAGGCCTCTGCCCTTTCAGTGGGCAGCTGCGGGGACGCGGCGGCGGCCAGCTTCGCGGCGCTGAGAGCCGCCTGCATCTCCGGGGGCCCCTGGGAGGCACGAGCCGGGAGTGCGGACGGCGGGGGACCTGCGCTCGCCCCCACAGACTGGTGGCAGAGGCGGATCTCACGCTTCTGACAGCTGCTCTGGGCCAAGGGCCCTCCCTGTCTGTCCCTGTCCGCTAGCGCGTCACCAGACGCACTCTTGGGCAGTCTTTCTGAAGAAATGTCAATTATTCTCAGCGGGTTGGTCCTTTCCAGGAGATCACTAGCAATTATTTTGCTTTCTTTGTGGCCAGTCACCCCGTCTTGGGCTGCTTTCGGTGTCATTTGGCTGGAGGCACCCCGCTCGCTGTGCACGGGAAGTGGGGTGTCCCGCTTGCTCCCTGCTGGGGATGTACTGCTCCTTGAGGCCGCGGGACTCGCCCCCGAGGCCACAGGGGACGCCTTGGTCTCTGGTCCACCCTTAGGAGGCCTGGGGCCAGCGGGGCACCCTCCGTTGGGGTCTGAGTGGCTCGCCAGGGGGAAGCTGCTGCATGCACCTTGCTCAGGAGGAGTCTTGGGGGAGGTAAGAGGTGAAATAAATGTCCTGATGCTTGTGTCTGATGCTGAGGCCTTCAGTGACCCCGAGGTGGCCAGGGGCCTCCTGGTCTCCAGCTTACACTGGGGACTCTTGAGGGGAGATGGGGCGTCTGTGTCGGGATCCTCGTGGTCAGCTATTTGGGACCGGTGTGACGCCACCTTGGAAAGCATTTTGTGGGAGGCCTGGGGTGAGATAAGGGATTTCTTGTGGTCTGTCCCCCCAGCCTTGGCTGTGGTGGCTGCAGGGGCCTCGGTACTGACTTTGCTTTTGCTTTTGATGCTCAGTTTCTTCAGCTTAGGACCGGATTTGGGTTTCTGACAGTTACTTAAAAGAGTTTCCACTGAATTTTTTTTAGGTGGGTCTTTATTTTCAAGGTTCAGTTTCAGCTGTGGGGGACTCTCAGCCACGGCGACCCCCTTTCTGTGGCTGGAGCTCATCACCGGACTCCTGGAGTCGGGGCTCCTGGCGGGCACCGCGGGTTGCTCCTTTTCAGTTCGGTTCTGCAAATGCGGACTTTGGTTATTTTTATTGATTTCTTTAAACCAGGCCATGATGGGCCTCTTGGAGATCATTTTTGGTCTCGGTAGCAAGTCATCCAGGTCTTGACTTTCTGAGATATGCAGACTTGCCAGGACGGATTCTCCATTCTTAGGGACATCCAGGACAAGGGAGGCCAGGTTCTCACCGGCGTGAACTTCTCTTTCTTGTTTGCTATTTGGGGTTCTGTGATCTAGCAGCTCATGGTCCAAGCCGCCGACCATGTTGAGAGCGCTGAGGGTGACGGGGGGTTTGTGGAGGCACAGGGGGGCTGGAGGAGGCCAGCTGTTGTCCACAGCCGAGCTGGTGCCGGTGCCTTCCACGGTGTCTCCTGCGCACAGGGGCCTGTGGTTCTGCGAAATCCTTGTGTCCACGTGCTCACGTGAGCTTATGTCCAGGAGAGAAAATGGCTGGGAAGAGTTTGGGCTGGAAGGACACGAGGGCCCAGGCGGGAAGGACGTTCTGTCACAGGGACCTGCCACCGCTTCACTCCAAGTGCTGTGCTCCAGGGGCAGAGCTCTGGCTGGAGCAGCACCGGGGACAGCCCTGGCAGGAGCAGGAGTCAGGGGTGGGTTGGGGGAGCCATTTGTGGAACAAATTTCAATTTGCTCCTCCTCAGACTCTGTGGTGTCATCCTTGTAAGAAGACCCATGAGAACGAGGAGGCGACAGGTGGTCCCTGGTGGAAGCTCGTGGGGCTTCAGTGAGTGACTCAGGGTCAGAAGATGAATCCTCAGCATCTCCATACATGGACGAGAGGGGCGGCTCTGTGTTGTCACCCAAGCCTGGCGGGGAGATGCTGTCTTTGTGGAAATTGCTAAAATTTCTAGAGTAGTTGCTGAGAAAGCTTTTATTCACAGTAAGATGCTTGTCAGGATGAACTGAATCCAATACTGACGGTTGAGAGGCCCACTGTGGGGGAGGGGGTGGGCCAGCAGCCCTGCCTGGGGAGGGGGTCTGGCTCCCTGTGACTGGCTGGGCCTCGCAGGAACTTCCGCCTCCCGTTGGAGGCTGACCCTGAGAACCGCCCTCCAGAATCGCCGGGTCCCCTTTCTGAGAGGATGGAAGTCTTGCCTCAGAAGCATCCAAGTCCTTGATGAGTCTGTCGACGTCAGTTCTGGAGCTCCCCCCACTCTTCGGGGGGCAGCAGTGACCCGAGTGACTGCCACACACCCCCTGGGCCCTGTCCGTGGGCGATGGCAGGGCAGGGCCAGGCTGTGGAGCCGTCTGGGATGCGGGGCCTGTTCCCTTGGGCAGAGCAGACTGTGGGGAGTTGCCAGGTTCAAGGATGCCTGCGGTGTGTGAGGCCTTGCTGTGGTTACGTCGCTCCTCCTGGGAGGGGAGAAGGTCTGGTGACTGGCTGGTGCCGGCCAGAGCGGCTGCCTCTGCTTCGGGCCCTGCTCCCCCTTGGGCAGCTGGCTGCCTGCCGTTGCTGGGGGAGCTGCCCTCTGCAGCTGTGGGAGTCTTGCTGAAGTCAGTCTGGGCTGCCGCTGCCTTCCTCGGGGACGGGCTGCATCCCTTGCTGACTTGAGATCGGTCCTGAGGCTCGGGGGCCCTGGGCGGTGCTGGTGCTCCGGGGTTCTCAGGCCTCCTGACTGGCCCGGTGTCCCTCGCGGTCTTGCTGGGGTCAGGGCGAGCCGCCCCCTTCTGCCCCAGGGCGGGGACAGAGCCGTCCAGGTCTGCGTGGAGGTTATAAATAAAAGGCGGGGTGGGAGGGGAGACGGGAGAAAATAGAAAAGCTCTCAGTTAGAAGGAAATGGTCAACAATCTCAATACTTCTGACCTTTTCAAAAGACGACTCTGCAGCCTAAGTGGAGGCCTCTGGCCACTCTGTCTCAGTCCCTAAAATTACAGAGCACGCACATGTGACAGACGGCGCCCTGCTTTGGAGACTCCAGAATAGATTGACTGGCAGAAAGAAACCTTGTTTCTGCCCTTTTTCCTTCCTTCAGGCTATTTTAAGGGGGGGGTGACACCAGCCATCCATCCACTCTGTTGGCAAATGCCACAGGCGTCAGGCTGCTCCTGCAGCCCCAGCTTCGCCTCAGTTCTGCAGAGGACACACACCTCAGGCCGGCATCGGCTGTTCCTGGCAGGGGAGCCTCCTGCTGTGGGCTGTTAGCCACTCAGCAGTGCGAGGCCGGCTGCCGCCTGCTCTTCAGGGCCTTCCTGCTCAGCGTGGGGAGGAGGCGCTTGGGAAAACAGCCCAAATGCTACAGACAGGGCTCACGTCTGTCCGCACTGAGGCCGAGCTCTGTCTTCAAGTCCAGAGGCCAGATTTTCCCAGGGGAGGAGGGGGCTGAGAGGGCTTCTGGGAGATAGTTGGTCCAACAGTGATGAGGAGGAAGACAATGGAATGAAAGCAGAGCAGGACGAGCACGGAGGCTCAGAGGCACTGGGGCCGATGCACGGGGTGGGCTCTGGGGAGGTGCTGCCCTGAGGACGGAGGCTAGTCTGTCCCTCTGGCACAGGCATCTTGCTATAGTGGGGGGGATGGTCATAAAAAAATGAACATGGATTCACTCTTAGGGTCTGAGGTTGGAGTGAAAAACTTGGTCCCAAAGTACGTCTTCTCCAAATGGTGCAGCCCCCCCCATCTCCCACATAAATCATCTTTCCCGCAAATGGATTTTCCCTCTTGAAATCCTATGTCAGTAAGTAACGAATGATCGAGACTTGGCACTGTGCTGAGCTCTCCATGCATGTCATTTTCTTGGAGTGCTGTGAGGTCGGTGCTGGGACCACCTGCTGGCAAGGGTGGGAACCAGGCGCAGAGCAGGTAGCGTGTGTCCCAGGGCACGAGGCTCACAGCCGGGAAGGTGGCCCACACAGCCAGCCCGCACTAGGCCCCGACTGCATGGCCTCTCCAGGGAGTGCACTTGGCAACAAGGTTGCCCCGTCATCACACCCTAGGAGACCGTATGTAACTCTCCAGAGACTCTTTTTTTTTTTTTTAAAGATTTTTTTTTTTTTAATAGAGGCATGTTTTTATTTATTTGTTTATTTGTTTGTTTGTTTTGTTTATACAAGCACTGGGTACAGTCAGAAGCGCGGGAGGGTGAGAGAATTCACCAGAGCCAGAGCGGGGAGCAGAGCAGGCAGAAGGACCGAAGTACACTGCTGAGGGGAGCAGCGGGCGGCAGGAGAGGTCTGCGCGCCACGTGGGACCCTCCTCTGGTGGCCGGGGAGCAGCCGGGGATCGAACTGGGGCCTCAGAGGCCGCGGGAAGCTTCGCAACCAGCGCTCAACTGCTGTGCCACCGGGGAGGCCCTCTCCAGAGACTCTTGGGGACGGGTCTAACTCTCCCGGGCCCTGTGGCAGGCCCAGATCCAGAGTCTTGGGCTCCTGTCCTCAGCTCAACCTTTCAGAACTTAAAGGGCTTAACTTCTCTGCTTCTCTGGTGCCAACTACTGGGAAAGGGGGGGGGGTGTTTACACATGAGGCAAAAGGAGGGGATTTTAAAGGCTGTCTTTGGGTTCAGATTTGCTCACTGACCAAACCCTAAGAGGCTGTTCTTGTTAGTCATCCGTCTGTATCACCACGTGTGTGACTCAGAAGGGTCTTATCTGAGGGAGATGCAATCATGTGGAGACAGTCCTTGATGTCACCTTTCAAAGTAATCCTCCACTCAGAACCCCTCCAGTGCCCAAAATGGGGAAGAGTGTTGACTCAGCTGTGGCACATCATGGGGTGGAAGGCACAGCAGGCTTGACAAATCATGTGGTTAGCACAGAAGGACACGGGGGATAGGGCACAAGTTCCCAGCCAGAGCAGGTTATAGGGGCACCGAGGTGACTTGGGGCCCAGATGGCCTGTCAGGCCCTGCATCCATCATGCAAGCCTGGCAGGGTCTGGTTACCTTAGCAGGCTGCTCAAGGATGATTTCTGTGGGTCATGCGGTAAAAGAGGTAAAAAGGTAAAAGAATGCCAGATACTGGGACCACCATAAAGTGATTTTTTTTTTTGTGAAGGAAATAAGCACAGGATGAAGATGGCTATATTCCTGGTATATATACACCCACACACCCACACACACCCACACACACACACCCCCACACACCCACACACACCCACACAAGGCTTCAGGGAGTACTGAAGTCTTAGCAGAGATTTTCTCTGGGCCTAGGGTGGTTCTTCTGGTTCCTCCCACTCCCTCAACTTTTGTTTCCTAAGCTTCTATAATAAACATGTACTTGACTTGTAAGAGTTATTTAAAAATTTAGTGACAAGAAAAGGGTTTACACTCTTCGTACTGCTTCAGCACTTTTCTCTGAGTAGCTTTTGACAACTCTTCAAACAGCCACGGAGGACACACTCTTTCTGGTTTCTAAGAAAGAGGATTCATTATTAAAGGAGTATCAATTATTGCTGGAAAGCTCAGTGGCTCTAAAGTGCAGATCGTACAACCAGCACCCACTTGTCAGCGGACTCTGTGTATAAAACAGCACGTTGGATCTTTCCTCTCCTTAAAAAGTGCCTCAGGAATATTGCAGGTGCTCATGCAGATATCTCACCGCATGCATAAAACACACACACACACATATGACCATATATAACATGTGTTCTTAGGAAAATTATACAGTGACTGCACATTTTGTACCAGACAGTGGTCCAAGCAGAGTAAGTGAAAATCTCTGACTCCTCTAAACAACCCCTGAGGTGTGTGACCTCGGATGGGAGTTAATTTGCCCAAGTCACTCCCCTGGTCAAATTTTGGGGCTGGGAACCCAGGTGCCCACATGCTTAACCCCTGGGCTGTGTATATAAAAATTTGGAAACTTAGGAGAATGTTTTGATTTTAAAAAAGGTAAAGTGTTTCTCCTTTTATCAGTTATCAGTTAAAATAGGATATATTTTAAGAGACATTCTGCGAGGGACAGGGAGGAAGAGAGATGAAAACAGGGAGAGAAGAGCACACGGGCCTATGGCGATGGTTCACGGGTGAACTGGCGGTGGGGATTTCACGGGAACACACAATGATGTAAAAGATATAAGTAAAAAAATAAAGTATAAAAAAATAGGATCTGTTTTGATGAACATCCTTTCCTCACATTGGAAAGCAGAGAAGCCATTTACAATAGAAAAAGGAAGGCGGGCTGCTGCAATCAGCCAGGCTGTCATCAGGACCACTTGGTCATAGAGAATGTTCTAACTGGGAAGGAGAAAGCGTGACCTCCAAAAAAGATAGAAGCTCTAAAAATTTCAGAGATTCAGTCATTTAGAATCGCTGGTCCAACACTTCAGCTGTGGCCAGGGTACCTAGAGGGCCCCTTGGTGCTAACACAGCTCAATACTCAGTCCTCACAACGAGGACATTGTATGTTAAGGGATGGAATTGTAGCCAATTATAAATAAATCAGCCAATACATCATGTTAAAATATGTTAATCAGATGTTAATGGGCTCTGTCACATATATTAAATAGAATCCGTTCCTGGCACTAGCATTTACTGGTTGCTCAGTAGGGGCTAAGAACACACAGCTGCTCCTTTCTCAAGGCTCATCGCCTGTGGGAGCCTGGGGTGGGGGTGCAGAGAGGAAGGTACCCACAGATTGCAGCTTGGGAATGAGTGCTGTGACAGGGATATGCAAAGCACTATGGCATTCGGGGGCTTGGAGGTGGGAGGCTAAATGTGTATGTCATATGTAACATGGGGCCTTAATATATAGAAACCTATTTCTATAAGGTACAGCCCCTCAGCATTCAGAAACACTTGGCTAGGTAGAATAAGAACTTCCTCAAGTGGTGAGGAAGCAAAGCATTTTCTGCAGTAGAAAGCAAATTAAAAAGATGTTGAGCTCAGTTGAAAAACCATACACCGCTCCTGGGTGGCTCTCCCCTGCCATTCCAAAGCAAATACAGATTCTAAGAAAATGGGCCCCAATGGACAAGGAAAATGCCCTAGTAAGAGGTTGGCCTCAAAACATTATTGTGAAAGGTGACATCAAGGAGGTGCTACGGAACTTTACCTTCCCCAAATAAAAGCCTTTTAACAAACACTTTGCAACAAAGTCAAATTGCTAACAAAAATTGCCTGTACAGGCTTGTTCAGCCAGTGAGTCCAACTGAAACAAGAAATCACAGTAAAACAGTAAAGAGCCTCACATGACAACACAGACATCAGAGGCCTCCTGGCCTGTCCTCCTGCGTGGTCATCCAGGTGTGCGCAGGTTTTTACATAGGGCAGTTCTAACGAGTGAGTGCTTTCTCGCCACCACCTAGTTGCTCAGGCGTCAGGTGAGCCCTGCCTTAGGCCAGGGGCCCCTTAAGCACTGGAGGGAGGGCAGGGCTCCTGGGAGGGTCCAGTCACTGGAAAAAGTGTTCCTGCCCCCACTGCAGATTGAAAGTATGAAATTTTTCATAGAGAGTTTCACTAACAAGTAGTGAAGTCATTTCATGCAGCTTGATTTTGAAAAATCATGTTTGCAATAGTATTTTGGATGATGGTTCTAACCAAATTTATATTATACTAAAAAACTATGTATTTTTTTCTATAGAAACTATAGAATATATTAACATAATATCTGGTATATTGTGTTATCATCATACATTATGTAACATATAATCATGTAGGTTTCACAAGGACAAAACAATCTTACCTGACTGGGGCTGTTGCCTGAGCTCCAGTGCAGCTTCTGGCAAGTTCTCTGGGAGGTGGTCAGCCTCTGGGCAGTGCAGAGCACAGCCGGTCGGGGCACACCCATCCCCGATGGTCAGCTTTCCCAAAGGCTCCTGGCGCAGAGACAACCACGAGTCAGAGCTTTTCAGGGTCTGTGCTTCCTGAGACATCCCCATGCAGAGGAGGCAGCCTGGTGTGGGGAAATCTGCACCCTGGGCTGGGAGCCATGAGATCCAGATTTTGGATGATGACTCTGGGTTTAAGATTCTGTGGAAATTAGATGGTCTGCTCACTCTTCCCAGGCTCCATTTTCTCAATTTTAAAATGGGGGTGGTTAAGGAAATGCAAATTAAAGTTGCAAAGAACTATCACTTTACACCTGTTAGGCTGGTGATTATAAAAAATAAACAGCAATGACATGTGCTGGCAAGTATGGGGAGAAATGGAACCCACACGCCCTGTCGGTGAGATTGTAAAATGGTGCAGCCACGATGGGAGACAGTGTGGCGATTTCTCAAGAAATTGAAGACAGAACCACCATATGGTCCAATAAGGGCATTCTGGGTAGCTACCCAAAAGAACTAGGTCTCAAAGAGATAACTGTATACCCAGCATGAATTGCTAAAATGTGAAAGCAACTCATGTCCATCAATGGATGAATGAACTAAATGTGGGCGTGCGCACACACGCCGCACACACACACAATTTAGCTTTCAAAAGTAAGAAAATTCTGATGCCTGCCACAATATGGATGGACCTTGAGCCCATTATGTTAAGTGAAATAAGCCAGCACAAAAAGACAAATACTGGGTGATCCCACTTATATGCAAAGTCCCTAGAGCGGTCAGATTCATAGAGGGGAAAGCAGAATGGTGTTTGGCAGGGCTGGTGGGGAGCAGGGGAGTGAGCAGTGGCAGCTATTGCTTATGGGTACAGAGTTTCTGTTTTAGAGGATGAAAACAGTTCTGGAACTGGACGGTGGTGATGGATGCCCAACATGCGAATTATTAGTATGTGACCTGTCTGCTCAGAATTATGTGGTATTTTACCAAAATTAAAAATTATGAAAAAAAAAAATGAGGATGACCAGATTTGCCCTAATACCTAGGGTTTGAACTAAAAGATGATTAATTGAACTAACAGTCATAAAAACAGCATGTAGCATGCAAAAGCGTATGCCGGTTAAGGTATTGTTGTTACTGTCAATATTTTGCAAAGTTTTTAGTGGAAAAGCAACTCCCATTGGTGGTTAGGGAGAGGTGGAATCTGATTAAGTGAAACTGACATTTAATATTTCAAAATTTCACTTTAGCCAAGTGTCTATTCTTTTATTTCCCTTTCTTCTAGCTAACATCTACTATACAATTTTTTTGAAGCAAATTTGCCCAAAAGTTAAATCAGATTAATTTGAAATTTACCCTCTGAATTAAGGAGTCATAAAGTGGCCCAAAGGTGGCAGCAGAGGAAAGAGGTAAAATAGTGTTTTTCAGCTATTCTTGCAAAAAATTTGTTTTATAAAATATCAATTATTGGTTGAGGGGAATCTGCACAGGATTTAACTCCACTGATTTTCTAGTTCTGTATTTTCTATTGAGTAGGCATATATGTAATACAAAAACAGCAGAAGTTTTTGGAATGAGATCGAGGTGGCTGCCACCCAGCACTGGGAGTATATTAAGCGCCACTGAACGTGGTTCACATTGTTTTGTGAATTTCATCTTACAAGAAAAAGGTATTAAATAAAAACAGCAGAAGATCACTAACACATTTACCAAAAGAGAAAGCTTTTCTTTAAAAAAAAAAAAAAGCCTCCAACATTCAAGAGTGAACATTTTATGGCAATGCATTCTATATTTTTTCTCATGTATCAATGAAAGTTTGGAGCTTAAAATTGTTATGAGAAAAATTAAACTTCCTTTGTGCAAGTTACAGTGCTGTTCCACATTTTTACTAGGCCCAGTACAAACTTATAAAGGCTCTTACTTTAATAGATGTAAGTTGTTATGAATAAAAGACCTGTTGATGATACTTTTTAAAGGGAGTTTTTTTTTTTGGTCAAGATTTATTTATTTATACATACAAGAATTGGGGTACAGGCCAGAGGTGTGGGGGGTGAGAGGATTCACCAGAGACAGAGTGGGGAGCAAAACAGGCAAAGTGACTGAAATACACTATTGAGGGAGCAATGGGAGAGACAGGAGAGGTCTGCTGCACCATGTGGGTAGCTCCCTGGCCGCGGATGGAACTCATGCTGCAGGGGCTGCGGATTTCTTCCCAGGTTGTGTCTTAACCCCTTGCACCACCAGGGAGGCCCCTTAAAAGGAGTTTATCTACCAGTTGAATGCTACATTTTAAAACACAAATGTTAGCTGAAGGTAAAAACTACAAGAGGAGGAAAAAAGATGTGTTTCTATTTCATATGTAAGGGTAACAAAAACCCCTTTGGCCTAGTGTATTTTTTATGACTATATTTTGGGGCCTATCTTCACATATGTTTATATAAATCGCTTGAACACAAGTGCTGATAAAATACAGGCCGCAAATCAGCTCGCTCTCCTCAGAGAGAAATGACTTTTGTTGAGGACGGGATCATAAACAATATTGGTTTATTTGACTCTCTCCTTGCTAAAGTGGAGAGATATCGAAATAAAAAAAAAAGAGCAATTCTGTAATGTGCAGCCATTCTACATACTTGGAAGCAGTAGTAACAAATAATATTCACTTGTGTAGAATGTAGTGCATCGTAAGCCCCTCGGTGGATGCAGGCCCGCCCATTCTTCCCTGTAATACGACAAGGGTCTGGGCAGCTGCAATCATACATAATCCCTGCAGAAAGCTTAAAAACCTGGGGTCACTCAGAAGCCTTCAGCCAGGATAATCACGGACAACGTTGCTCTACTCGGCTGAGAGACACCGTCTCTGTTTGAACACACTGTGGCTCAGAAAGGCTCGATAACCTGCCAGCTAGTCAGGTTTGCCTTCACCGGCCTTAAATGTCCTCCCCTCATCAACCACAGGCCAAATAACCGTGACCCCGGCCAACCTGCCCAGAGGGGAGTCAGCTCCCACGCAGTCAGCGGACGGACAGGAACGGCTGTCGAAAGCTAGTTTTCCTGGCATCGCCCTCTCTTTCAGGCAAAAGGCCCCACGCTTTCCCACGCACTCCACGTCCACCCACGCGGCACGCACTCACAGCCCAAGCGACTAGGAGAACTTCACCCACCGTCTCCTCGGTGCCACCTGGCTGCACACCCGCGCTGGTCACTTTGATGGACGTGGCCTGGACTCTCAGGTCCAGACCCTGTGGGTCCACGGCTCCATCCTTCGGGCTTCCCGTCTCTGAGCTGCCTGGCCTGGTCTCAGCCTCAGGCTTCTTGCAGTGGGGGCTGATTCGGGCCACCGGTTTGTGCCCAGATCCCAGGCTGTCATTCTTCTGTGGGGGGGAGCCGGTGCTGTCTGTGTTTATCAGGTTCTGGGGGCCCGTGGCAGCTCTGTATTCTAATTTGGGTGAACTCTTAGATCCTGACAGTTCCTTCCTCCCGGAGCAGCCGCGGCCATCCTTGGGGGCTGCTGCACAGGCCAGTAGGTTGGCTGAGCGGGAAGGCGTGTCTCCCGTGCCGCCCGGGCATCTCTCCACCCTGTCCAATGAACTGCCAAGGAGAGGCACCGAGGAGGCCTTGCTGACCAGCGTTTTCTGGGGATATTCCTCTAGGTTGGTGGTGCCTGGACCCTTGGCAGAGGTCCTCAACACATGCCTAGTATCGTCCTCTGTCAGAGGCCTGCTGGGGCCAGAAAGGGCCCCCGGGAGGGAAATGCAGTCCCCTTCACCATCAAGCTCTTCCTCGTCACTGGCCTCATCACCATCGTAGCAGCCGACCCTCCTCTGACGGAGGAGAGGGTTTCGGAGGGCCTGTGGGCTCCCAGGGAGACTGGTTTGTCTGGCAACTGTCACCTGCTTGTGGAAGAGCCCCGAGGCCCGCTGGCTTCCGAGTGCCACAAGGCTGTTGGCCCTGGGTTTGCCTGGCTCCTTGGGAGCTAGTGAAAGTGGGGAGAGAAAAGTCAAACGAAATCAAGTTTTCCAACTGGCCTGGTCTTGTCATCGCACCCCCCTTGTTACACAGGAGCATCCCCACATGTGCAGATGCCAGACCACTGGTCACCGGGCTTAACCCATGAGGTTTCTTGAGGTCAGCAGAGTGGACAGCCAGCTTCCCTCTCGCCTTGTCCTACTGACCTTTCTTATTTATTTCCCCTCAATCTCAGGATTGCTTAATTTAAACCTCTATCATGTCTAATATGCTGCTGGGGTGCAGGCCGGATGCTGATTTCCTCTTTAGGATGAGAATTCCTCCCCAGGAGGATGCTGAGGAACCGAGGACAAAGCCCATGTACTTGAGGCCCTTCCTTCATCTGCAAAAGGGGGTCTTGATTACTGAGTATACAAGTTCCTAAGCATGGTGCAGTGAAGCCTGACATAACTACTGACCCTCCAACAACCCGAGAGTTAGGGGTGCTGACCCCTCCCCACCAATCAAAAATCCACATGTGATGTGGTGGTGGAAATTTTATGGGGATTACACCCGAGGGGAGAAATCGAACATTTTACAAAAATGTAACAGTGACGTAAAAAAGTATACATATTAAAAAAATCCACATGTAATGGATAATTGGCCTGCAGTATCTGGCCAATTCAACCCACCCACAGCTGAGGTTGACTGTGTGAAAACGGAACCCTCCAAAAACAACCCATGGATAAGTGGACCCGTGCAGTTCAAGCCCGTTTGTTCACGACTCAGTTGTATGTATAATCTACACAGACTCCACCCAGAGGAGGGAAGCGAGGCTGCTCCGGGAACTATTCCTATCTGCTGAGTGGAGTGAAAACTAACGTGCTTCCATCTGGGCATTTCTGTCAGACACCAGAATAAGCTCATGGGCTGATCCAAATGAGAGCCAGCGAGAAGCTCATCTTCTGCTTCTCCTAAACTGGGTGGATTTTCTTGTTCAGAAGTTAGAAATGAAATAAAGGAAACCACCCATGCAGCAGTCTGAAGAATCAGCATGATTCCCACACTACCGCGGAATGTTTGTGGTATAGAGTATATTCAGAAGATGCAGTATAATCAATGAGATGCTAAAAGCCCTATTTGATGACAGGTTTTATAAGTTCTGGATCTTTCACTCACTGCTTCTCAAAAGGGCTTCATGAGGGAAGGGACCTGAATTTGGCTGGGATTCCCTTAAAGCATAGTTTGCCGACCCTGATCTGATCCCACTCTGGAAAGAGCATTGAAAAGGGGTCTGGCAACACCCCATAACACTGGGTGAAGAAGGGGACCCCCATCTATTTACTGCACCAGCAGCGGGTCATTAGCCACAGGCTGCGTTCCCCAGGAGCAGACTGAACGTAGCCGGAGGGAGACCCCGGCTTCTGCTCAGCCAGCGGCCAGTTCTCTGCGCCCCTCTCTTGGCACAGCACCGTCATGCAGAACCCTGCGTGGCCACACCGGCTGGACAGCCCCGCCCGGGGGCTTGCTTACTGGAGGTGCTGGGTGGCAGGCTGCTGTCCTCGGAGGTGCTGCAGCCACTTCCTGGGTGCTCCTCGTCCTCAGAGCCGGCCACCACAAAGTCTGACAAGGGGCCTGGGCCGTCGTGGGCAAAGTACTGGGAGAGCTCGGATTCCGCAGTCAGGGCGTCCTGTTGAAGAGAGGGTGGATTCGGGGACGGAGCACAGGAAGCGGGTTATTGGATGGCAGTTACTTCCCACCTCTCCGCGAACACTTTGTTCTAACCGGTGGTCATTCAAAACAGCTGTGATAGTAAACACCCACTTGCATTTACTTTAGGATGACTAAGTTAAACAATGAATGAATGAAAAGGCCACGGGCGCTGCCAGATAATATTTTTAAGAGGTTTTTTTTTTTGGAGGGGTGGGGGCATGATCAGAAAAGCAGCAGCAGCAGATCAAGCATCCCAGGAAAAACCCAAGGGAAGGGATAAGAAAACAGATTGTAATTCCAAGCCAACTGGTCGGCCCATCGGTGAAACAAAAAACCAGGGGTTTGAATCCTGTACCCTGATCCACTGGAATTGTGAAACGGGGTCTCCTTAGGAGCAATTTGCAAACTACCTTTGTACAGCAGCTGCTCAGTTCTTTTATTTTGTTGTGCTATTCTTTTCCTGGATGGATTTTCAATAAAAGAAACACACATTTGTATATTTGTTCTCAAACGAGTACTGTTTTTGTTTCCGTTTCCTGTGTAAAGTGGCCAAGATGACGCACGGGCACTGATAGGAGCTGGGCCCCCAGGCTGGACTTACAGGCTCCAGGAAACTGCTGGGGACCAGCTAAGGGGTCAACATACACCTTGACTCACCTTTTTGGCCAGAGAGGGACTCTTCAAGGGAGTACCTGTTGGGGGGAAAAGCACCAAATTGTTAAAACAATGACACTCAAGTGCTCGCATAAAGACCCACATTCTTAATTATAAAAGAAGGAACCAAACATTCAACAGAACCCTCTCTGCTTGACTGGCATGGGTGGGCCATAAGCACAGGTGTAGATGTGTGCCAGTCTACCCAGGCACCCGCTCCCACCCCCATCCCATCTCCCAAGATTCTGCTCATGTTTCAAGTCCTAACTTGGAAGCTGCCTTCTCTACTATGATCCCTGCTGTAGGATAATTTCTTCTTTTGAATATCCCAAGTATTTTACACTGCCTGTGTACCAATTTCTATATACATTGTGTAATTTAATTATGAGTAGATACATCTCATCTCCCTACCCAGAAGATTTAACTATCATAGGGCAGAGCCTTTCAGAGATCTGACTCCATAGTGCATGGCAGGGCACCTGGGTCTGGGAATTTCAATGATATTTGTTCAGTTCATTGGGGGATGCATGAACGAGGGGCCATCACCCATGGAACTCATGAAAGAACTGGGGGAGAGTTGGATATCTATTTTAAATTCTATGCCTTGGGCAAAAAGATCACGGGCAAGAGATCGTGGCTTAATAAACTCTTTCGTAAATGATTAAGTGGATATATTGGGATTATAAGAGGACAGATATCAGGGAGATCCGGGGCTTGAGCTGGGTGAATAAAGAGCCCATTATGACTGTGCCCATTTTGAATATATTAATTATGGATGCAAACAATCATGGTTGCCAAAAAACCCTCTGCCTTCCTGTTCCACTGACAACCAGCAAATCATGTCTCAGTTCCTTTTCCTCCTGATATCAGTAATATCTCAAGCTCAGAAATGTTTGTGGATCCCTTTTCCGTTTTCGTTCTCCAGGAAACATCAGTTTTGAAACTTGATGCAGTGTCTCATTTTAAATTCACGAAATTCTTACTATCACAAATCTTTTTCTGCTTGATTTTTCCACACAAGAAGCGGGAAATCAAGCCTTTTGCATTCTCTCTTACCCTTCTTGAGTTGCAACTTTTAATTCATGTAAAGACACCCCAGAGGGTTGCACAGTTTGGTGTTAATTCATTTTCCTCTTGAACATGTCAGATGAATTGCACATGAACACATGAAATGCTGATTTTTGCAAATTATCTTAAATTCATATAAGAAGCATGCATGATTAGAACTTTAATAAAGTCCATTAAAAATGCAGAAATCAAAAGTAGCAGCTATGAAAAAGCACAGAATTTCTTTGACAGTTACTTTTACCCAACTTGGTAACAGAGAATTCAATAATATTGTATAGGGAGTGGCCCCATGAGGGAACTGAACGAGAAACGCTTTTCTGAATGTTGAATGAAAATGTGTGATTACTATACCTAAACCAGGAGAGGAATTGGCCTCTTTGCTCTCCTGATAAGTGCTGCGTGCTATCACTTCATCCATTTCCTGCTCGGAAACCTGATTTTCAGCAGAAAGCACAAATTAGATGGTTTTACTTATTTATTTCCCCCAAAAAAGTACCAGAGGACCAGAGTCAGAGGCTGAGCACAGATAAAGATGCAAACTATCAGGCCAAAGGTTTCAACCATCTTCTGAAGCAACAGCTCAGAGTATATAAGAAGGACAGTTGCATTAACTGAACGCTTTCTATGATGTATACAAAAGAAGACTTCACTCGATACCCAGGTGCATTAAGCAAAGAATTCAGGTGCTATGGTTACTCACAACATGGTGATATCTACCTCCTTCTAGAACACTACTTCTCTGTTCAAAACTTTAAATACTTTCAGACCTACATAAAACTTGCCAGAACACAAGAATACTACTCTTCATCTGAATTCACAATTTTTTTGAAAGATTTATTTATTTATACAAGCACTGGGGTACAGGCCAGAGGTGTGGGAGGGTGACAGAATCCACCAGAGACAGAGCAGGGAGCAAAACAGGCAGAAGGACTGAAATATACTGCTGAGGGGAGCAGCAGGTGAGGCAGGAGAGGTCTGTCGTGCCATGTGGGTATCTTCCTGGCCAGCTGGGAATCGAACTGGCGCCACAGAGGCTGTGGACAGCTTCACAGCGCCACGCTCTACCCGCTGTGCCACCGGGGAGGCCCTGAATTCACTATTTTTAAAAGACATTTTGCCACATTGATGCTCATACCTTCCCTTTGCACACATATATACATATTGCTTTCGCTTTTTGCTAAACCGTTTGGGAGTTAGTTGCTGACATCATGACCCTTTACCCATAAATATTTTAGCATGTTTCTCTTAGCAAAAAGGGCATTCTCTTAAATAACCCTGGTACTGTTATAAAATTCCAGAAATTTAACATTAATGCAAAACAGCGGTCTATTTTACATTACATATTCCAAATTAGCCAACTAGTCTAATACTTTCCCTCAGAAGTGCTACTCAAGGCACGTCTGCAGAATGGAAATCATGTGCAGAGTGTGAAGCCAGCCTGTGATAAGGATTTTCCTTGAGAATGCAAATCACACAGCTTCTTTCATCAACATTTTGTTAGGAAACAATGTCACCTGAACTAAACAGGTACACAGTGATGTAGCTGATTTGCATTCTGGGACACAGTCCCTATCTCGTGGCCCTTTAGTGGACTGTCAAGGACCAACTTCTCTGCACAGTAATGCTTTGAAAAAGATACTGTTTGGCAACCCAGAATTTAACTTGGGATCTACTTGTCATATCTCTTTAGTTTCCTTTAATCAAAACAATCCCTGAGCCTTTCTTTCTCTCTCATGATACTGATATCTTGGGAGAAATCACGCCAATCCAAACCCTCAACGAGGAGCTGTCTGGTAGCTTTTTCATGCTTAGATTTAGACTCTATTTTTTTGGCAAAAAACTATCAAAAAATCATTCTTCCCCAGCAGTTCATGGAGGCACTCAGGGTCAATGCAGCTCATAAGTGGTGAGGATAAGTCTTCCTGATGAGGAAGGAGTTTGCCAGATTTCTCCTCTGGATTTGTTGGGTCATTAATGTGTAATCTGTGAGGAGAGAGTTTGAGGCTGTGTAGCTATCCTGCTCCTTGATATATTTTAATGGATGGCCTTAGCAATTTTAATGGCTTTAGTGTCATTGGTTACTCCTGTCTCAATTATTATTTTGGAGTTTCTAACTTTTTTTTTAATAACTTTTTATGGTTATAACTTTTTTTAATAACTTTTCTTCTCTTTCTATATTTATGGGCATCATTGTAGAGCCAGGGAAGTTTATTCTATCAGTTGCTACCCATGATTGTCATTATTTTTTGGAAACTTTTAAAAAGACTAATATGTAATGGAATATATGCTACTTTAAAAGACAATTAGGAAATTGTCTAGAGTTTCTTTTGTCAAGACAGGAACATCTTAAACTTAGAACAGTAACTTTGTATATAGTAAAATAATATTTTGTATAAATATTTGGATAAGCAGAGCAATTTCTTGTCATAAGTAAATAAAAATTTCTGTAAAGGATTCAGCATTCTATTTTAACCTAACAGATAAATCACAATCATATCGTGGCCTTTGTGTGATACTGTCTAGTCGGCTTCACAGGAAATAAAATTGTACCTATGCATGCCCACAGCTACTCACTTAGGTGCCTGTCCCCGCCATAAAGCCAAGAGTAATTTTAGAAAAATGAGTCAGGGAAAGTATCAGCTTAAAGTAATTACAAATTTTTCTTGATACTAGACTTTCAATATCTGCATCTGTTTTTCTAAGTGGGAGAAAAACGGTTGGGGTTTGAAACAAGTGAAAGATTTCCTGGAGAGTTCTATTCCTGCTGCAAACCCCAATCCCATTTAAAAATGGACCTCCATTTCTTCCACTTAACAAAAGCTAGAAACTGCTACCTGAGCAGGTCCAAATCGTAGCTTGTCTAGACCTAGAGGGCTTGAATATCCCAGCGGGCAGCCAGCACTGCAGTCATTATGAGAAACAGGAGAAAAGAAAATCCTTGTGGTATTTCTCTTGGAACAACATGAAAACCAAGAAGGCACATACATTCAGATCCAAATGTATTATTGGCATGAAATGCTGGGGTAAGTGGTACAAAAATACATTAAACATAAAATGAAATCTTGACCAAAAGAAAAATACAGTATGATATTACCGCTAAGAATGCCATGTTTACCTAGGAAGAAACGTGAAATCCAGTCAAACAAATACTGCAAGTTGGTTTTGCTGGACATTTCTCCAACACCACCGCAGACGAGCGTTTTACTGTGGCTCGAAACAGCTCAACGAGTGTGATCCCAGGGTCTCAGGCCACCAGCACATTAGGATTCTTGTGCTTTGTACAGAAACACCATTTTGATGTTTGATTATATTGGCAAGTTAGGCAGAAGCATTTGGGTGGAGATGAAGTGGACCTCCAGACAAATGGTGACCTGCCTTATGCTGGAGAGGGCTTTGAAGTCAGACATGCCTGGGAGCCAGGGCCGGCAAACCACAGAGAGCTTATTTTCTATAATGTCGCTGAGGGATGTGCTAGGTCAGCCGCAGCTCACTGGAGCGCTTCCTAAGGCGGCAGGGGCTGTGAGCACGTGGGTGGCGGATCCAAGAGCGGACCCGGGGGAAGGAGCAGAGTCTGTTCTTGCTGTGATGATCAGCGTGTTAAAAGTGAGTCAAAGAGAATCATGGAGAGGGCAGCAGAAGGAAGCAGAATAGATTCTGAAAGGAGACAAAGGAGAACATAAAGGAGAAAAGTGGGACGTGACCAGCAGGAAATATGGAAGAAGGTGGAAACAGGACTTGATTTTATATTAATGGCATTTACTCAAAATGTTTTTTCCTAAGCATTTTTGAGAATGCAAGAAGACAAGAGAAGACAATCTGGAAAAAAAAAAAAAAAGCTGTGGGGTTGACTTGGAGTTAGTTTTATGATGACCTTGGTGTAAATGCAGGGGCGGACACTGTTCCCGTGAGAGCGGTGAGAGCAGTAGCTTGTCCTGGGGAAAACCATTTACGAAATGACCGCCAGTGCGATGCTAAAAATGATGTCTCTAGGTTGTCTCTGATGTGCACAGAGGAAGACCACAGGGTTTCGTAGCACAGACATCTGATGCTTCAAGTGGCTAACGGGTTATCAAACCACATAGCCTGGGGCCATTTAGGACAGAATCACATTATACTACAAATCATACAAAGGGCACGGCCATATGACAGACATGGGAAGAGTTGCTCTACTTAATGAGCATTTTGTATGGTTGAAACGTTAAATCTCAATCACTGCTGACTGCTGAACAACACAGGGTAAAACTGTGTAGATCCACCAATACAGATTTCCTTGTAAACAGAAGATGCAAACTTAAGGTATCAATAAATCCAGTACCGTGCTATATGTATATTTTCTTTGATTTTCTTAATAACGTTTTTCTCTAGTTTACTTTATTGTAAGGACACAGTATATAACACATGTAAATACACAACATCTGTGTGAATGACTATATTATGGTGAGGTTTCTTGACAATAGGAAGCTGTTAGTAGTTAAGTTTTGGGAGAGTCATAAGTTATGCCAGGATTTTTAACTGTGTGGAGGGTCAGTGATCCCCAAGTTGTTCAAGGTTCAACTGCATAGTGTTTAAATTTAAAGCTAATTTTAAGGGATTTTTATTTATTTTTTTTAAGATTTATTTATTTATGCATACAAGAGCTGGGGCACAGGCCAGAGATGCAAGGGGTGAGAGGACTCACCAGAGACAGAGCGGGAAACAGAACAGGCAGACTGACCGAAACACTGCTGAGGGGAGCAGCGGGCGAGGCAGGAGAGGTCTGCTGCGCCATGTGGGCTGCTCCCTGGCTGGCCAGGGATGGAACTTGTGCTGCAGAGGCTGTGAATTGCTTCATAGTGCGGTGCTTAACCCCTTGCGCCACCAGGGAGGCACTAATTTTAAGGGATTTTCACATTGAGTACTCAAAGTGAAAAAAATGAATGCTCAAAGTAGATTGTGTTGTAACTACCCAAATGTTCTGTGGGTAGCTCAAAAAATTAAAAGCAACTAACCATACAAGTTTAGAAGAGAGAGGACCCAATGGCAGCAGCGTTCAGTGACCCAGGGGCCATGGAAGCTGCAGGCTCAGCGGTGTCAACGGTGCAACACTGATGCTGAACGAAAACCAGTGAGCTCCTGGCTAATTACAAAGGACTCAGGTCAAGAATGGCCTGGATGGATCATATGGTCCAAGACTCTCAGATTATCTTGCTGCAGTAACCCAAAGAGGGTATCTCATCAGAGAGAAACAGCCAGCCAAGAGATACTCAGAACCCAGCACTCCAACTTCCTGCCAAGTTTTAAATATACCAAGAACATGGTTAACATTTTTGTAGAATATTTTCTAAAAGTGTGGAAATGAAACCCAGATCAATGATTCCTTTTCCATGTGTATCAGTGACCTTGGTCACTGTGTGGCCACAAGCTGACTCCCATCCTCACCCTGATGTCCCAGCCTGGGGAGATGATCTCACTCCAGTACACACTGTCCTAAGGATATGTGTGTCGTGCTGCTGGGGAAACAGCCAAGCCATCTACCCAGACTCAGAACATAAGTACATCACCTTTGGGTTAGGGTGCCGGCCGATGACGAGGCGAACAGGCCCAGGGGGGCATTTGCTTAAGATGGCATGGACTTTGCTTAAAGCAGCATGGCGAACGTTGACTGAGTTCACTTCCAGGATCTGGTCTCCACGACTAGGAAGGGAACATGACAGTCAACACTGCATTGAACAGCTTTTTAAAAGATTTCCTTCTGGGACAGTTTCTTAATATGAAATCTTGTCTGAATACTTAAAAAAAAAAAGGAAATGACATGCTTTGCTCTTTGTGTACATGTTAAAAAGCAATACATTTCTATATACACATTAGATTTTAAATTGGCAAAAGTCACTTTGCATATCTCACATTTTCAGCAGTAAAGTTAAATAAAAGTGATAATAAGGACAACAATGAAGGATATGCTTTCTTGAGCCCATTATGGGAGGCACCTATGAAACAATTTGCATAACAATACTCTGAATGGTATCATTATCCCCATTATGGAGATAAGGCCACAGGTTCACAGAGGTCACTAGGATGTCACACACTGTGGAAGCAGGTCTAACATTTAATCATCATGTGAGAGGTCCTCCACCATCCGTCTCTTCTCACCATCTTGAAATGATTATTGTAATATAATTTAAGGAGGAAATATCTGAAGCTCAAAGGTTACCCAAGAATTTGTAAGAACGTTTCAAATTTGAACAAATGAGAAACTGGGGACAAGATGCCCATTTTGACTTGAAATTATAGGGAGAGAACTCAGTATGAAAGAACAAAGAGGCTTTATGTGGGTTGAAGAATGTTCATTTGGCAGGCTCTGGGCATATGGAACCATTCAAGAAAGAAACATCATCTTGGGATGTCATTAAAGGATTTTTTTCCTTCGGTTCTAAAAGTATATTTTCTTTAATGTACTTTGGATGATTTGTGAAAACTTTTTTTCATATGGAAATTCATTCTGATGATTAACTAAAGACATAATATAATCTATTAACAGAGCCCCCAAATGGTAACCTCAAGGAATGTCATTTTGACAATTCCTCAATTGCTCAAGGACTTAGAAGCTTACAAGGGAGAAAAGTGATACTGTTTGCATAGAGAGCTTTATGCAATGCGTGTACATTCTTGTGAAGTTTAGGTGGGCACCACTTCATTGCAATCACTATATCATAGAATACCTAGACAGCTCTTGTATAAACAGAATACCCACACTCCATTCAACTGGCTGATGGAGAAGTCAGACATGCAGTGATTTCAGACAACAAGCATCTAGACATCCCTATTCAAAAGAATGAAATGGAAAAGATTCAAGAGATAAGTCTTAATAAGACTTATCCAGTTCAAGGACATGATTTCAGGTCTCTTGCACCCCGTGATTCTGAACCTTCGTGAGTCGTTGCCAGGATCTCCTATGAATTTTACATAAATGAATACAAAAGTGAAAGAAAATATTTAGACAGTCATAGCTATCTGCATAGGATTGTATTTTGTCAAGTTTGTGAAACCGAACTTCTGAGTCCAAGTAGAACAAAGTCAGTAAGGAAAGCCAAGATCGCAGAGTTCAACCAAATTTCACTTATACTCGCTTTTCAACTTTGCAGAGGCTATTAATTGTAATCCTGGCTATTACTCCAAATAACACAAAGATTTAGAATCCCACAGAAAAATGGAATAGAGCAGAAATGTTCCATGCATGTGTTCACACAGTCATGAACGCTGCGGCTTTCAAACGAACCTCAGGTTGCTCTCCATCTTGGCCACTGATCCAGGGGCGAGGCTGTGAATGTAGATGCCCGGAGGACTGCTTTCCAGAGCCAGGCAGCAGGCACCGATGCCCAGTCCAACTCTGGGCTCTGTCAGAGGGCCAGCCAAAGGGAATGACATCACACAAGAAACATGATTTGAAACGGCACTAACGCACATTCACATCAATGGCTGTTCTCCGCCCCCTGCCCCAGCCCCCAGGGTAAATTCTGCTTTTCTTTGTCAACACCGTCACATTCTATTCATAAATGAGTCCATGAAGAAGCGGGGGCTAACTTCAGATTAAATTATTCAATGGTTTGCTTGTGGCTTAGCCTATAGAACATGCCCAAGTCTGTTTTTCGGACATAGGCAGAAAGAATTTTTAAAAAATTCTGGGTGCACAACTTTAGGTTTTCTTTCCCTTCTTTTATGAGCAACCAGTCTCTCAGTTCCTTCATTGTTCATCATATTCAACAGTAGTGGTGGACAAGGAAACAAAAATGAAGAGGCGTACGGATTTGGTAACCTCCCAGGACTTGTAGTTACTGATGTTAATTTTATTCTTTTTTTTTTTTTAATTTATAGAGGCATGTTTTTATTTATTTGTTTGTTTGTTTGTTTTGTTTTATACATGCACTGGGTACAGTCAGAAGCGCGGGAGGGTGAGAGAATTCACCAGAGCCAGAGCGGGGAGCAGAGCAGGCAGAGGGACCGAAGTACACTGCTGAGGGGAGCAGCGGGTGGCAGGAGAGGTCTGCGCCCCATGTGGGACCCTCCTCTGGTGGCCGGGGAGCAGCCAGGGATTGAACCAGCGCCGCAGAGGTCGCCGGCAGCCTCGCAACCCAGCGCTCAACCGCTGCGCCACCGGGGAGGCCCAATTTTATTCTTAACTATGAACTTCTGTTCTTTAAATTTTTGTATTAGCCCTTGACTTAAGCGAAGAATTTTTTTTTTTTTAGAGAAGAGAGTTCACTGCTTTATTTCAACTATGCTTACCACGTAAACATGCAGTTTAGGCAAGTTATTTCAGCAAAAGCAAGGTGCTGAATATGGCTATTTATTGATAATGACAGAATAAGTATTATTCTTTTTCTTTATATATCTTACATCATTATTCATTTTTTATACAATGTATGTTTTCTCCTCTCAGGCATAGTTCCCATAAAATTCCCACCACCAAGTCACCTGTGCACCATCACCCCAGTCCCTTGTGCTCTTCCTGCCCCTGGCTTGATCCCTCCTCCACCTCCTCCCTGAGCAAGGAATTATTTCTTTAACATGTCTCTGACACACACTGAGTCATCTGGAAGAGCTTAAAGGACTTTGTGCTACTGGTAACCTCCCTTCACTCTTACAAAACAACTCAAGTCTCTCCTTTTGATCCCAGTGTCCACTCAGAGAACACCACATGCTGTCGAGAGCAGATTGTTCCAAAGGAACACAGAAAACGTCCAAACATCAGCCCGAGCACGGAGCACACGCTGTTATTGCGAGAGTGTGATGAGAGTGAGGAATGGGAGGCTCACCTTTATTGAGTGTGACTTCCATGACGATCCTGTCCTTGGGCCCGGGGGCCTTGCGCCCCAGGGATGAGGAATTGCCTTCCTCTGAGTTTACAGCTGAGGATCCCCCACTGACGTTGAAATTCGGGGAGCTGGATCTGCTCATGTGTGTGGGGGTCGAGCAGGGAGTGAGACTTGGGCTCAGCAGCTTTGTGCGGACCGTCAGGACAAATAACCCACTCCGGATTTGCTGAGAAAACAAGAAGGAAGTAGGGCTCACACACTCAGATTGTTTCTATTGCAAAGGTGGGGGAAAAACCCACCAAACCCCAACTGGAAGGAAATAAAGGAAGAAACGTGATAAAGGAGATCAGCGGGAATGGTGTTACCTTAAATGTATGAATGGCTTCTTGAAAGGTCAAGCCCTTTATTGGGATTCCATTTACATCGAGGATTTCATCTCCTGGTGACCAAATAAGAGAATTAACATTAGCAACAAGCTTTTAATTTACTTGAATCTAACTGCTCCATCGGTCCCAGAATAGGATACCATCTGGCTGCCGGTTTGCAAGTCTATGAAATGAATTTTATTATTCCAACCCACTTTCATTAGCTTAGTTCCCAGGAATGGCCCAACATGGGACGACAGTTAATGGCAATGCATCTTCTTTTGCAGCCATTCTGCAGTTTAATTAAAACAACTCTGGGAAGCATCACGAGCTTTTTCTTTAGCCCCTGCCAAGTTTGACAATAGATGTCCTACATTTCAAATCAAATTGCAAAATGCGTCCCAGGTCTCTCTTCATAGTTCTTGTTTAAAAACTTAAACCCGGTGGCGATGAAGCGTGAACGCACACAACACGTGAGCATTCCCCCCTCTATCTGCAAAGACCAGTTTGCTCAAGCCCTGGAGCCCGGATGGTGTATTAGAAACGGTTTCAGCGGTGGAGACAGAAAACTTGCTGAGCTATTACTTCGGAAGGGAAGCTCCATCATGGATGGTCTCGATGCTCGATCTTACGGATGTGCCTCAGGTTCTCAGTCATAACACTGGCAAGTGCTTCTGTGCTTCTGTCTAAAAGATGATTGCCGGCTAATGCGAAACTGTGCTCTCTCCTCTCTTCTCCCTCCCCCAGCCTCTCTTAGATGCAGTCACAACCCCCAGAAGGTGAAGTCAGGTCATTTTTCAAGCTGTTGCTAGTGTGCTGGGAATAGAAAAAGTTCTTGGACATCCTGTTGACTCATCAGAGGTGTTTCTGGTTTGCACTCTTGTGACATGGTCTGTTTTCTGGAATAGCAGTTCATCAAATGCACTACAAAGAGCAGATGAAGCTTGCACAGCAGTGCAGTGCAGGCAAGGGACTTCCCTCACCTCTAACAAAGCACAGGGCATCCTGAGAACACACATTTTCACCTCTCAGAGACGCCCGTCCGGTGCACTGTGCGTCTGATGAAAGGGGCCCTGTCGGTGAGCTTAGCAAGGGAGCCACAGTCTCTGCCTTTGCCCTCCCTTTCTGGCAGCTACAGAAGATGTAAAATAAGAGAAGCAATAGCCTGTTAAGAATCACCCAGCATAGGCAATTACTCAGCTGGCCGGGGGGAGGGGGGGTGTGGTGGTGGTAGGGGTAGGTGGGGGTGTTGGTTTGCTTCCACATAGGGAAGGACAGAAACAGCAGGAGTGCTCACCTTCTGGAAAATCTTTACACAATCTGTCTTTCATTCAACAGGTTGGAAACCAATCCCAATGACTTGCATTTGTTGTAAATGAACACATATGAAAAAACAATATTTAGGAGAATCAAGAATCAAGTGCTATTAACCTTTCCTAACTAGGGATTTTTCCCTGCAGTTGCTCCATGCTACCAGCATTGCAGCATGAATTTCGATCAAGTGAACAATGGCGCTTCCATTATAAAAATGCTTTGCTGGAATTTCACATTCTGAAACTAGAAACAAACACCACCTGGGAGTTAACCCTTCCTTAGAGAGAGAAAGAAGTATTCTGCCATCAAAATATTAAGCCTAAGCTCATCTTACTGTTAGCACACAAGCTTCTGGGATCAGTCTTTTTCAAAAAAGGAGACTGCAAAGCATTTATTAGTTAAAAAAAAAATGATCTGGCTTAACACAACGGCACCTGTAGTTTCAGTTGGCTGACCTGAAAGTCACAGCAATTTTTAAGGTAACTAGAAATATGGTGAGTTATTAATTTCATGAAGGGATTATATTAAGAAGGCGGGAAAAACTCAGAATTCACGAATAAGTCCCAGAGATCTAATTACACCATGGCGACTGAAGTTAATAACCTGTGCTATATACTTGAAAACTGCTAACAGAGTAATCTTAAATGTTTTCACTATACACACACACACACACAGGGTCATTATGCATGTTAATGGAGGCAACAGCTAACCTTACAGTGATAACCATTTCACTATATATAATACACACACACACACACACACATTTACACAATGTCATATATCAAATACATCTCAATAAAGCTGAGAGGGAAGAAAGCATCTGCCTGGGATGTTTATGTGTGGCAGGTAGGTGGGAGGTACTAAAATGTAGTTGACGTTCATGCCCAGTCCAGAGACTGGACACAGACTCTCAGAAACAACTTGATCAAGCACCAACAGATCCTTTAAAAAGGTCTTTAGGGCCTCCCTGGTCTCACAAGGGGTTAAGACACAACCTATGAAGCTGTCTGCAGCCACTGCAGCACGAGTTCGATCCCTGGCCAGCCAGGGAGCTACCCACATGGAACAGCAGACCTCTCCTGACTCGCCTGCTGCTCCCCTCTGCAGTGTACTTCGGTCAGTCTGCCTGTTCTGCTCCCCATTTTGTCTCTGGTGAATCCTCTCACCCCCCACACCTCTGGCCTGTACCCCAGCTCTTGTATGCATAAATAAATAAATCTTAAAAAAAAAAAGTTAAAAAAAATAAAAAGGTCTTTAAAAGATAGACATTTAAAGACCAATATGAAAATATTAAGTCACTTTCCACATATCATCGCATTTCATCTACTCGTCACAGCTCTTCCACGTTTACAACTCAGGTCACATCAATTGTCCAAAGTCAAGTGGCAGGTGGTGAATTGAGGCCAGGTCTAATCAACTCCCAAGCCATGGCCTTAAGTGCTGAATTATTTACTTCACATCTTGCAAGAGGGCAGATTCTTGTGGAACCGAAGCTCAGACAACCACCAAAAGACTGCCTCCTACCTTCTTTAAGTCTTCCATCCTCGGCAGCTGATCCGTTTGGGAAAATGGTCTTGACAAAAATCCCCATCTGTCCTCGAATGCAGTCTCGACCGCCAGCAATGCTAAAGCCCAGGCCCTGCAGAGCAGACGGGGTCCAGGTTGTCAATGGCAGCATTTAACTGAGGGCATCCTTTCTGCTGCAGCATTTAACTGTGTGCTCTCCCAACTAGGCTCAGAGTTAAGCTAACTAGCTGTAAATTCAAGTCTGTGTTCCCTCACCACGTCCCTCCTCAGACCCATCTGCGTTGTGCTCGCTAGGCATGACATTAACAGGGGCGCTCCAAAGGCAACAATTTCATGTATGTCAACTAATAGCTTGAGAGTCATTTCCTATTACGTAAACGCCATATTCATTTTATTCTGTTGTTTCTGTCTTCCCATCTTGTATAATATCAAAATGGGCATTTTTGATATTTGTATACCAACAAGTTATTGGCATGATTCGCTTTATGGTCACATAATGCCATGAAACTCATTCAAAGGACAGCTATGAGTATTTCCTGAAGGGGCTGCTTTTCTTGCAACAGAGGTAAAAATTAGGAACTCCGACCCTGCTGTGTCCATACCAACCAGGGGCTGATGACTCCTCACATTACTGGGGCAGAGTGGGTGTGGCCACCTCACTTGGAAGCCCACAGGAAGGGGTGCCAGGGGACCCACTCAAATCTGTATAAGGGCCACTTAATCAACTCCTCTTTTACTTTGATTTCATGTAAAATCAACATAATAAAAAGCAGCTGTTTAAAAAGTATAAGCAGGCCTCCCTGTCACAAGGGGTTAAGTTGCAGCACTATGAAGCTGTCCACAGCCCCTGCAGCATGAGTTCGATCCCTGGCCAGGGAGCTACCCACATGGTGCAGCAGACCTCTCCTGTCTCGCCCGCTGCTCCATTCAGCAGTGTGTTTCAGTAGATCCGCCTGTTCTGCTCCCCACTGTCTCTGGTGAATCCTCTCACCCCCTGCACCTCTGGCCTGCACCCCAGCTCTTGTATGCATAAATCTTAAAAAAAAAAAAAAAAGTATAAGCAAACACCCCCTGCAGGCAGAGCTGCTCACAGAACAGGCTCACCTTGCCCTTTTCCTTGTACAGCCCGATGATGGAGATGACCGAGGGCCGAATGAGCCTCCAGGGAGACTCCACCTGCGTGGTGCTCAGCGAGCGGGCGGACTTCTTCACGATGTGGTATTCCTGGAAGTAAGCACACGCCAGGTTGGAGATGGTCTCCTCCATCCTGCCGTGGTCTCTGGCACAGAAGTGTACTCAGATTTTGAAGACTCCATTCATCTTTTGTGTTGGACAGCTATTTCCCCCGGCCCATGTCGAAGCCAGTGGCTTAAACCTTATTAAAGTTTATTAGGAGCAATATTAAAGGGAGAGCTCCAGTGGTGACTATCTGTTCCGCCTCTTCCCACATCAAGACAGGCTTGGAAGCCACAAGCACTGGGTCGCTCTTTCCTCGACAGTACAGCACAGACCCCACTTCTTGCTTTCTGGGATGGAGTTGAGGATCCAGCAACCCAGGGGCCTCAGTCATGTTGGAGGCCCAGCCTGTGGTCAGGTTCTCCCTTGGAAGTCACTCCCTGCCTGCATCCCAAGTTCATAATCATGGTGAGAAAGTAGCTCACCATTTGAAGCTCAATTCGCTCACTCAAAAACTTAGCAAGCCCTTATTTCTTATAAACCCCAAGCCACAAACCCAGACAACTGTTGTTCCATAGAAAACATCCCAGTTTCAGTTCTATCCTTTCATTTGGAAAAGAAAACATTTTCCCATAAGCCACACTCTCCCTGTCTGGCACCGGCAGCTCAGTCTCTCTTTCCTGTCCATGTGCACATGTGCGAGAGTAGGGAGCAAGATTCAGAACACAGGGCCTCCCTGGTGGTCTAGGGTTAAAGTCTCAGTGTTACCACCAGGATAGTCCGCCCAAGGCAAAGTGGCCTAAGTTCGATCCCCGGCCAGGGAGCTGCCCACTTGGTGCAGCAGACCTCTCCTGGCGTGCCTGCTGCTCTTTTGTGTTGGACAGCTATTTCCCCCTGGCCCATGTCGGAGCCAGTGTATTTCAGCAGATCTGCCTGTTCTGCTCCCCACTCTGTCTCTGGTGAATCCTCTCACCGCCCCCCACACCTGTCTTTGAACTCAACCAGCTGATACTGGTCGTGGAGCCCATGGATATGGAGTCCACAGATGTGGAAGGCCAACTGTATTTATTGAAAAAAAAAAATCCACCTATAAGAGTACCTGTGCAGCTCAACCTCATGCTGTTCAAGGGTCAGCTGTATTTAAATGAAGTTCAACAGATGGATTAAAACAAAACACAGCCCCTGGTTTAAAACAGATGCTTCAGGTATATAATATAGTCAACTTTCTCCGTGGGATCAATTATAAATGGTAGGTGTCCTTGGCCGTGATGGGAAAGCCTCTCATCTTCCATACTAACAAAACAGCCTGAACACATGACTTCAGCTTTCTCAGCCTCCCAATTCTCTGGGTCCCACCGGGTCATTCTGAGCAGGACACAAACTAGTTTCGTGTCATGGGTCTACAGAATAAATACAGCTCCAGTACAAGTTTTTTGTCCTTTTCCTGTGCCCAACTCAAGCTGCTTTTGGGTAGAGTCAACACAAGATAACCTGATGAGCAATGGTCTCTGAAACACGGGCGCTTAGTATTTCACTGGCCTTAAAATTTGCCCTACAGTGGTGCTGGCATATCACTGAGCAAAATACCCATCCACTTAGGGATTCAGTTGTGCTGTCTGTAAAAGGGCGATACATCAAACATAGGGGCTGACCCAGATGACCGGACTCTGTGTTTCTACAGCCCGATGGCCTCTGAGTCTCCAAGCACTTACAGGTGTCAAGGTGGTCACACCCTCTCCTTTCATTTCTGCTTCATTGTGGGGCACAAGGTGTCAATAATCCCCCGTGACCCTCTGGCTGATCGTCTATATCACAAGATCACCCCCTCAAGTTCTCCAGGGACTGAGTCTGCCTCCAGCGTGGTATGAGCTGTCTCCCCCAGTTTTGAGAATGATGTAATGAGGAGGAACCCTGTGCAGGGTTCTGGAACTCAGAGCTCTGATGGGGAAGGGCCCTGGAGTTGTCACATAAGCACCCACTTTCCCCCTCCCTGCAGCCTCTTCTGACCGTGGCGCCGTGAGTCATTACTTGGAACAGGTAGGCTACCAGGAGCCGCGCAGGCACACACACATTCCCTGCTCTCCCACAGGTTACGCTGACACATGACGTGATGATGGCTCACCACAGGCCGTGGGGCGCCATTGTCTCCTGGCAGTTGAAAGCAGCTCTCGGTTCCAAAACTCACAGTAGGAAGGGGATCAGACGCTGAGATCCAAAAGGGATTTTTTTCCTTCTCTACTATTTTCAAATATTAGGCTGACTTCCTCCTGCTTCTCTGGACAGACCTCACTCTCTGTACCCCAGCTCTAGTCCCAAATGCTCCTGGCCCACAGAGATGGTAGGTTCCTCGGAACATGGAAATTCTTGTTGGTCTTTGAAAGAACAGAAGGTGGTTAGACACCCAGGGGTGGAAACTGCTCTCTCCCTAGCTAAGCAACTGCGACTCTGGAGAAGTCAAGAGCTCCCCGGCAGGGGCCTACCTGCGAGGCCCCGGAGGAGTCCAGCAGCTGGGGAAGAGAGTGCTTCCGGCCATCTCGGGACACCTCCAACATCCTGGCCCGGGGGTCCCCATTCCGCACCATCAGCTCATTATATTCTTCGACAGACTCTAGGCGGTGCACACCCCCTTGAAAAAAGAAGGGTAAAACATGGTGTGATATGGGACAAAAATATCACAAGCACATACAGGGGCATAAACTGGTCGCCTTTCCACCATGTCCATGGTTTTCAGAAGACGTGGCTCTGCCGACGCTCAAAGGCTCGAGCTCGTTGCGTTCCACCGTCAAGCTCTGCATGAGCTAGTTGTGTGTCGAGGCCGCAGACACCAGACTATGAAGGTGCCAGTATTTGAAGGGACGGGGCTGGATAAGGGCCAATGGGTATGTTCGACCACGTTGTAGCTGCGGCCGGTGAGGCAACAGATAGGAGCGAGGATGCGATCCGTCAAGCATTTTCCACTGACAGAGGAATACCACGTTGTCAGTGTAGCTCCATCGTTGGGGTAGAGGCTATTTTTCATGTATAGTCACGCCTTTGTCAATAAACGTTTTGTTAAAGCATAACAACTCCAAGAAATAGACACAACCTGGCAGTGTACAGGTCCATGAAATTTCACAAGGCAAACACCACCCGGGGAAAAGACAGAATATTAGCAGAACCTCAGTGTCCTTTTAATACCACTGACCAACCCTCATCCAAAAGTAAACATCACCCTGACTTTAAATGTTTACCTATTTTTGGATTTTATATAAATGAGCGTGTATACCATGTGCTTTTTTGTGTATCTGGCTTCTTGGTCTTAGCATTTGTCTGTGGAATTGGGTCACGATACATGCTGATTGTTTGTTCATCCATTTGTGTATATTCTTTGTTATGTAAACACACCACGGTTTATTTATCCTTTCTGTTGCTGACGGACATTTGGTTTGTTTCTAGTTTTAGATCTAGAAATCTTTTTTTGGGTAAAGGCAAGATAGTAAACGTTTTAGTTCTGCGGGGCACAGATGGTCTCTGGCATATTCTTAAGATTTTTTTTCATAACCCACTAAAAATGTAAAAGCATTTCTAGCTCATGGGACATGTCTCTAGAGCTGTGGACAGAGGTTTGCAGACTCTGATTTAGAGCTGACTGTCTTGAATCCTCTTGTGTATTATCTCCTGTGCTTTCATTTTTGTTGGGAGCAGACCAAGGAAGGGAGATGCTGTGCCACAGGTAGTCACTTTTACCACTACCATCTCATCAGATGTGAGAGTTCAACTTTTTCCACATCCTTGTTACACTGGGCAGTATCAGTTTTTAAAATTTTGGCCACTCTGGTCGATACATAATGGTATTTCATTGTGGTTTTTAATTCGTATTTCACTGCTGATGGATGAAATTGAGCTTCTTTTCAAATATTCATTGGTAGTTTTGTAAACTCTGTAGTGCCTTTTCAAGGCTTCCGCTCATGGACTATTTTGTTTTTTGTTATCTATAGAAGTTTTAATTTTTTTAGCATTACTATATCTTGGATACGAGTCCTTTGTGGGTCTGTCGGAGAATCTTCCCCATGTCTATTATTTGCTTGTTCACTCTTTTAATGATATTTTTGGATGAATAAAAATTTATAGTTTCAGTGTAGCTCAATATATTATTTTCCCTTTTATGGTTAGTACTTTTGCATCTTATTTAAGAACTCTTTATAGTAACAATTTTTATTATCTTTTATTGAGGTAACATTAGCTTATATAGTGTTTTGTTTTAGAAGTATAGGAGCTCCCCTTTTATAGTAATAATTTTGAAGATACCTTTACCAATGCCTTTTTTATATTACATGCTTGCTAAAAGTAAGATAATTTAAGGAATATTAATCTAAAAAGATCAATTCTGTTAGTATAATTGATATCAAATCATATTAGAATGTTTATGTTTTATGTACATATACACAAGTATGTAGCTATACACAATTTGAAATTCTTTGAAATATTTAAAATATTAAGTTCTCATATACTGTGTAAAGCTTCATGTGATATAATATTTTAATTCATCATAAAATTTCTCAGTTTTTCATGGATTAAAACAAGGTGATTTTGTACTCTTTTAAAAATACTATATTATTGAGTTTCTACTAATGATGGAAAGTTAGAATAGTGCTGATCCAGTTATAATGGACATCACTGCAAGGTTTAGTTTTCCAAAAGCTAAAAGGTAATTTTGTGATATAGATTTTCAAGTACCTGGAATTCCTTTGCCATCAAAGACAATTTTCCACTTAAAGATCATAAAGCTAAGACATTAACATGGATGAATCAAAATGCCAAAATTAAAAGGGAAACTTGTTGGCAAAAAAAAAAAAAAAAAAAGATACAAAATAAGGAAAACATGGCTTAGAATATCAGTAAGAATGTTCCACGAAATAACAGATCACATCCCTGTAGTCATTTTGGAGCCAGACGGCAAAATCTTAGTGCAAATGGCTGGAACCTCTTTACAGAACTCCCTTAATAATTCATGACTTAATAATTCATGACCAGATTAATTTATCTTGGCATGCTTACTCATCTGAAAAAGATTTATCAGACGAAAATTCTTTGTGAGCTGGCAGGGAGGCATTTGCCATCAATCGAAGAGAAACCACATACAGTAGTGTCTGCAGATCATAAAGATATGTGAACATCAGAGTGACGCACTTTAACAAGAAACAAACACCCAGGTTTACAGGACGGACAAATTAGCAGCTGACAACACGAAAATCTCTCATATTCAAATGTCTTCAGACTGAACATATTTCACAGGACTGAATGCAGACCCAGTGCTTTAAGCCTCTTGAACATGTCTCCAAATTATTTCTCCAGTCTTATCTCCCACCACCCAGCTACATGAATTCATTACTGCAGTCTGCTGAGTCTCAAAGGAGAGGACTTGGCCTCTGCCCACATGCTTCCCCAAACCCAGGAGTGTGTGTGTATATATATATATATATATATATATATATATATATATATCCCTCGAAGTTTTACTCAACTTTGCCTGCACCATCACCTACAAACCCGAAAATCTCCTTTCCTCTAATTGCTCGAGGACCTCTGCTGGACTGAATCACTGTTACCATTAGATTACTGGATCTTTCAGAGAGCAGAGGAGGAGAAACGGTTGCCAAAAAAACTTCTTTAAAAAATGTTTTCCCAATTGTCCCTAAACATTGCTGGTGCAATTTGTCCTAAGCCTGGACTATTGTTTTGAGCCTCTTCTGCTCCACCAAATCCTCCAAGGTCTTGATCTTCCTTTCTCTCACATCCTTGCATGCCTCCTCTGAGTGTTACCACCTGGAGAAACTTCCAGATTTGGTATCTCTCGTGCATGCTTTCCTGTGGCCTAAAAGTTCCTGAGAATCTTCCTGTCTGAAACCATGTAAGCGTCTTCTGCAAGAGGAAAAGAGGAGAGGATGATGATAATGTAAATAAGTGACCATGGTGAATCTGACTGGTGGTAACACTGGCAGTTAGCATGTGGCGAGAGCCTGTGGGCAGTGCCATGTGTACCTCTCAACTCCACCGTATAGTCCTTGCAGATGAAGAAACAGAGACCAGAGAAGTCCAGCCACTTGTCTCGGGTTACACAGCCCAATAGAGGCAGAACTAGGAATTGAACATAGCTGGAGCTGACTTCATACATGTATTCTTGCCCTAGTCCACAATTCCTTGTTAGGGTATCTAGGTGTCTGGGGAGGACAAAGGAAGAGAGTGGCATCCATTTGTGGCAGACAGTAGCCAGTCCTGGACTTATTACTCAACTGAATGAGCTGCTTGTTCTAAATTAACAGTATGAACAGTTAGAGAATCACAGATCTAAAAGGTCCTTCGGCTACATCCTCCTTCTCACATCTGTATCATAAAGCCTCAGACAGGGGAACAGGATTCCTTTGAGAATCCTCAGGAAGCCAGGGGGTGGGTGAGAACACTGTGTGGGAGGCAGATCTCTTTCCTGGCACCAAATGAGTGACCTTTGGGATTCATTTAACACTGCAGGTCTCGTCTATAAAATGAGGAATGTGACCATACTGGCTTCAAAGGTCCCTGTATTTCCCCAGAGCTCCACGCTCCTCCCCTGGATCTGTTATGAATTATTGACCAGCTCGGCCAAGACGGCTAACCTGAAGACCCCAAAGTCATGGTGAGTCTCCACCCCCAACACACAGGACTTGCATTATTTCCCTGAGGTCTTCTTTGGGCTAATGGGTGGTTCTGTCCCAAACCCACGCCCTAGCACATACACAGAGGTACACTGCCTAATGATTTGGAGTTATAAAGTACAAAGTGGTTCGTTTTGCTACTCTGCTTTAAAACATAAAAAAATCCAAGGGCGAATATATGGTCCTACACCTGCTCACTTGAATGTGAACGGTCCACTTTGGAAAGCAGTGTGGTTTCTCAAAAGGCTAAAAATGGATCTGCCATATGACCCAGCAATTCCACACCTAGGCAGCTACTAAAAAATACAGAAACACTAATTCAAAAGGAAACCTATACTCCTATGTTTATTGCAGCACTATTTACAATAGCCAAGAAATGGGAACAATCTAAGTGCCCAAAACCAGATGAGCAGATTAAGATGACGTGGAATATACCCAATGGAATGCTGCTCAGTGACCAAAAGAGATAAACTGGACCATTGGCAGTAACATGGATAGAGCTGGAGGGAATTCTGCTAAGTGAATAAGCCAGAAAGTAAAAGATAAAGACCAGATGGTGTCACTTATAGGTGGAATATAGAAAAACCAAGCAAAGGGTTAAAGACAAGCTTTAAAACCAACCTTTGCAAACTGACCATAGAGCTGGGGTTTTATGAGGGGGATTGGAGAGGTGGGAGGTGGGAGCGAGGGAGCACAGCGGACGTTGGTGGAGGACTGTGCGGGCCTCGGTGGCAGGAGTGTTGACCGTCCTCCACCCAAGGGGGAGAGCCTACACTGCCAGAACACTGGCAAGGACGTGCAACAGTGCTACTTCAATATCAATAAATTAAGAAAAAGTAAAATAAATCTGCCCACTTACCTGAGTATAACTGAACGGCCAGGCAGTGTAAGACACAGCAGCCCTCCCCACTGCTTAGGGTGGCAGGAAGAGAATCGGATAATTTATTTTGGCTGCTAACACCCCTATTTTGTCCCGAGGCCCTTTATGTGTGTTTTTTTGTTAGTTTGCTTTTAATCTGTTCAGCCCGTCAAAGTCAGGATTGTCATCTCTTTTTTCAGATGAGGGAGAGGAAGTTCAGGGAGGTTAGCCGACCAGCCCAAGGCCACAGGTAACTCAAGAGCTGAGGGAGGGAAACTTAGTCCTGCCAACCTTCCAAGTGCTTGCTCTCCTGCTACTCTGGGTGTTTCCCAGGGTGGCTGCCCAGGCCGACTCCCCACCGGGCTCTGGGCCCCGTGCCCAGGGCACATCTACTTTCAGAGGTCCAATAAAATGTTTTAATTTTAATTTCCTTTAAATCAGAAAAAAGGAGAACCTAAAGCAATGAATACATATGACTGAATCCAGATTGCAGCTTAATTCCAAAGCAGGCACAACATGTAATTTTTTAGTATAAAGGAAAGCACCCATGAAAACAGACATGCCTAGGACAGTCCTAATAGGTCCCTGCACACAGCCTGTGCTCTCGGCACCAAGGTCAGCCACTATAAGGAGGTTCCTAGGGAAGGGGTGAATCTATTTGTTGCAAAAACTAGCAACTCCATCCCATTTCCCCCTCTGATTTGTTGAACTATAGATTTGCTATTAAATAAGTTGCTCTTTGCCCCATGTTCTGGTAGACCAGGGGTTGTGAAAGGGCTGCCTGAAGATCTATTAAAGTAAATGAGCCAAATACACACAGAATTTAAGTTTAAGCAGAAACAGAGATGTTGACATTCACTTCATTATGACTCCAATAAAGATTTTCATAGGGGTAGCCAGACTGGATGCATCTGCTATGCCCGGGGCATGCACCAGCTAAAAGAGAAACAACTCTGAGGTTTTAATGAAAAAAGAACTTATCCTTTTAATAATCACATCTTCCCACTCCTTAGGCTGGAAGCTATTTCCAGGCAGGCTGTATCAGGCAGAGACTTCTACTTACCAGACAGACGACTCTTGAGCTTCATTTTACTGCTGCCCTGTTTTGGACTCTCCAAGTTCCCCTTGGAGTCTTCAGGGCCACACAAATCTTGGGGCTCATCTGTCCCAGGCATCTGAAATGCAGAGAGCACAGAGCTGATGGGAGGCACTTAGGCAAGTCCTTCCCCGATCAGCAGGGCAGGTGTCAGATGAGGAATAAGGTTCATGCACAGTCCTTCAGATAACCTGCATCCATAAGGCCCCGTGCTGGCAAGCTTCTCCTCAGCATGCATCTCACAGCACAGAACAAAAAATAAGGAAGATTTCAAACTGGAAAGGGCCTAAGGATCATTGAGTTCTTGAGGAAACTTGTTGGTCAAGGTCACCCAGGCGGTCAGAAAGCCACAAACAAGAGCCCAGATCTCCTGACTTATGGGTCACAGCTTTTTTGTAAATGCAAGTTGCAACAGAAACTGAAACCAGAAATTTAAACTCTGTTCTAAGTTTATTAAAATAAGGTAAAATACCTTGTTTGCATACAGAAATGCAACCAATTTTTGTATATTGATTTTGTATCCTGCCACTTTGCTGTATTTATTTATTATTTCTATTACTTTTTTTATAGAGTCTTTGGATTCTCTAAGTATATTGACATGCCATCTACAAATAGTGACAGTTCCACTTCTTCTTTTTAAGTTGGGACCCCTTTTATGTCTTTTTCTTGCCTAACCGCTTTGGCTGGGATTCCTATGTACATAGCAGCACTGTTCACAGTTGCCAAGTCATGGAGCCAACCTAAGTGTCCTTCAAAGATGAATGGATAAAGAAACCATGGAATATATACTCAATGGAATGCTATGCAACCATGAAAATGATCAACTAGTGGCTTTTGGGACAAAATGGATAGACTTTGAGGTGATTATGTTAAGTGAAGTCAGAAAGTGGAAGATTCAGATGTTTCCACTTGTATATGGAATATAAATAACCAAAAGACCTACATTGGCAAAATATAGCATGAATAAATCTTGGATTTAGTGAAGAATTTAATGGTTACCAGAGGGAACAGGGTAGGAAAGAGGAGGTGATAGAGGGAGGTAAAGTGGGTATTGTACAGGTGGTTTGGTGGAGGGTGAGTAGAACATGTGTACATATGAAAGAATAAAAATATAACCCCCAAACTAAAAGAAAATACAGTAAAACTTGAATTTTGTAGTAGCCAAATAACTGTACCCCTAGACAACTAGGTATTCCATGTGCTAACACCCTTGAGAAGTGATTAAATACCTCCCAAAATCCAGCATCACTCAGGATACATGGTGGCACTCATATAAAGCCAGACCACCTATCTATAGGTCATCTATGGTACCAGATCCTCAATGGTGATGCAGAAAAGATGATGCCATCCATCTGAGAAAAGCCAAAAAAAAAAAAGACCAAAACCCCACTTTATTAGACTAGAAAAAGAGACATTTACTTGAAGAGAATTTATAGAAAACTTGGGGGTAAAATTTAGATTTATGAAACTTACAAGATATGTTAAAGAAATGAAATTTAATTTCCTTTCAAAGTTCTCAAGAGAAAAATATGAAATATTAAAACATTCACAATAAAGCAATCCCTGTCAAAGATTCAATGACATTCTTCAAAGAAACAGAATAAGCATTACTGAAATGTATATGGAACCAGAAAAGATCCTGAATAGCCAAAGCAATCCTTACAAAAGAGAGGTAGAATGGAAGCACCATATTGTCAGACTTTAAAGTATACTACAAAGCTACAGTAATCAAAAAGTATGGTTATTGGAACAAAAATAGACACACAGACCAATGGAATAGAACTGATACCAAAGAACTAACCCCACACTTATATGGACAGTTAATTTGTGACAAAGGAGCCAAAAGTATACATTGGAGAAAGGAAAGTCTCTTCAATAACTGATACTGGTAAAACTGGACAGTCACATGCAGAAGAATGAAACTAGACTATTTTATATCAAACACAAAAATTAACTCAAAATGGGTTAAAGGTGTGGATGTGAAATCAGAAACCATAAAATACATAGAAGAAAACAGGCAAAGTATTCCACAACATTGACTTCAATGATGTCTTTGGGGATTTGACTCAAGCAGCAAGGCAAACAAAACCAAAAGTAAACAAATGGGATTATATCAAACTGAAAAATATCTGCTTAGTAAAAGAAACAATCATTAAGATGAAAAGGCACCCTAATGAATGGAGAAAATACTTGGACATTATACATCTGACAAGGGGTTAAGATCTAAGATATACAAAGAACTTGTACAACTTAAGAAAAAAAAACACTCAATTAAAATGGGCAAAAGAGCTACATAGACACTTCTCTAACGATGACACACAGATGGTCAATAGGCACGTAAAAGAATGCTATCACTTACCAGGAAAATGCAAACCCAAACCACAAGGAGATAACGACTTCACACCTGTGAGAACTGCCTATATCAATAAGACCAGAAACAAGTGTGGACAAGTGGGTAAGGAAAAGGGAGCCCTCAAACACTGTTGGTGGGAATGCAGACTAGTTCAGTATGGAAGTTTCTCAAAAAAAAAAAAATAAAAATATGGAGGTTTCTCACACATTAATGATAGACTTACCATATGATCCTGCAAATCCAATCCTAGGTTTCTACCCGAAGAAAGCAAAAAACCCTAATTCAAAGAGATATGTGCATCCCTATGTTCAGTGCAGCACCACTTATAAGAGCCAAGTTATGGAAACAACCTAAGTGCCCAATGACAGGTGAGTGGATTATGATGCTCTGCTATATACACAATGAAATACTATGCAGCTATAGAGAAAGATGAACTATTGCCATTTGCAACAACATGAATGGAACTGGAGGGTTATGCTATGTGGAATGAGGCAAAAGTAGAAGCAATACCAGATGGTTTTATTCCTATGTGGAATACAGAGAAACAAGACAAAGGGTCAGGCAAACCTGAACCAAAACAAACCCTGTCAGTCTGTCAGTACAACTGATGCTACGACCGGGGGAGGCGGAGGATGGAGAGCAAAGCAGGGAGGGGCCCAATGGACTGGAGTGCCTTGATGGGGGGTGTGGTGTGGTAACATACATCTGCAGAGGTGTGACCCTGTATCTCTGCATCAAACACAGCGTTTAAACCAGTGTCACCTCAAATTAGAAACAGATCCACACTAAGGAACACATACATACTTTAAAAAGACAGAACATATATCCTCTAACACTGAGCAGTCATCAAAAAGTCAGGTAATTGTTAAAAAGGAATGCTGAATTGCAACAGGTGATAAATGTTATCCATCACACATCAAATTCAGTATATGAAAATGTGCAAGTGAGGAATGAGAGTCATCTCCTGGGTTAACCCTCTTACTTCCTCCCCATTCAGGGCATAATTGATGATATATAAATTCTATATTAATATACAAGGATTTGGAAAAGTCCTGCTCTCTAAGTTCAAGTATCTTTCTGAATGAGAAGGTGGGGGAGTTCTGAGAAATGAGCAGATACAGGCAAACCGAGAAAGGGGCAGTGGGAATAGAAATGCATCCTGCTACATGAAACAAAGACGAATTTGGTGAATTCCTATTACGATGTCAGAGGCTGGCAGGTCTCCAGGTCTAAATTATGAAGTAAAGGCAAGAATGGAATCCTGAGGCTGATTTTAGCGATTCTCTGGAGGGATGTTTTTCCCAATGCCAAATCGTGACATTAATCCACACAACAGTGCAAATGTGCCCTCCTGGAGACACGCCAGGGCCCTGGGCACAGGAGGAGACATGCAAATGGAGCCTCCAGCGAGAGGCCTCAGGGCGGAGCCTCTACTTGGCTTAAACACTTATTGGAAAGAATCTGTCTCCAGACTGTAAACAGCAATTACTGGAGACAGAGTTAGGTTCCTGATGCTTTCAGGTTACACCACCTGACGCAGCCATCATGCCTACAGAGAAAGGTAGTCCTCAGCTGGCAAGTCATTGCCCCCGTGGTGGCCCTCAAGTGGGTGGTCCACTAGGCGGAGACCAGGGTCTACACCTCCAGGAGGTGCTCACAGCAGGAGGGAAAAACCAGCCCCAGCCTACGGCTTCTGGACTTAGGGTGTTCTCTCCAGTTCTCCTCTTTCTCCAGCACCCTCCAGGTTTTCATACCATCGAAGAGATGATGGAGGTAACACAAACGCCCACAGGAGGGGCTGAGAAGGAAGTGGCCAGCCCAAGTGCAAGGGGTGTGAAATTTTTTATTTTCAGAATCTAAAGGTAGTTAAAAGGTAACATAGAAGGGAGAAATGCACAGCCTTGAAGAACAATATTATCTCTTTTTCACTCCTCAACTGCACAGAAGAATAAGATGAGATATGGTTTTTAGAAGCTATTTAACACCTAAGGTTTCTGACACCCACGAAATCTTACGTAAAGATGGAGTATGTTCCATCACGTTGAAAGTCTGCAGCTGAAATCACTGAGCCTGGATCGAGAGAGATTTCCAAGTGGGCACACTGTACACTGCCGAGCTCCAGGCAGGGCTGAAGTCCTGTTTAAGAAGCCCCTGAAAGTGTCAGCACAGACCTCTGCATTTAAGTGGAACCATTTCCTCTTGTAACAGAAAACTGATCTACCATGGTAGGTGGCTTGTAAGTCAATGAACAGGAAGTAGGTTGCTTAGCTACAATACGTGAGTTCCAGGTTATTTCAGGAAGCAGCAACATACAAAGTGCAATTTTGATTACAATGAATCTCTCTGCAGTCTTACAGCTATTGTCTAAAAATGTCCAAATGCCATACTCTGAGAAAGTCCCTTTGCTGTATTTCCCTCCCCCCCCAGATCTATAGAACAAATCAAATAGTCCTGGAAATGATGTCATTTGGTTGTTCTAAAATGAAATGTGCAAGAAGTTCTCATGGAAGGCCTTTGGTTCAGAGGAAGATTTGATAGCGCCTACAGCAAATAATGTCCTCAAATAATGCAGTTTGTTCGACATTGTTTCATTATAATGTTGATGGGGGGAAAAATTCCACTGGGGGTGGGGAAGCAGGTCTGTGGAGTTTGCATTCTCCCCATGTCTGATGGCTTTCCTCACACCCCCCAAAGGTGTGCATGTCAGGTTCACTGGTGAGTTTAAATTGTCCCAAGCTGAGATGAGTGTGTGTGTGTGCACTCTGCAAAAGAAGGAAGGACAGACCTGTAAGGTTGTTCTGGCCTTACACCCTGAGCTGCTGGCACAGGCTCTGGTTACGCTAACCCGAGCTGGAGTAAATAGGTTAAAAAAGGAAGGAATGAATACCAATTACTGTTGAACATTAGAAATTCAGCATTTTTACTCACAAGTTTTCTGTGACCAAAAGTAGGCCACAGGAATTTGTTGTTTATATCAACTGGCCTGTGGGGCAATTGGTATCATGATGCTGGGGTGCGGTGAGTGGGGTTCCTGGCTCCTTGTGATAAGTGATTTTAGCAGAGTCCCTCACTCAGCAGCACGCAGCATGTTTATTAAAAAAAAAAAGGGAAAGAGAAAAGGAAGATGTTTGCATCTCCCGAACAACTCCCAGGCAGTTGTTAAAGGCAAGAAATGACCCTTTAGACCAGGAAAAAGGCTAATTACAATAAAGTAAAAATCAAAATCAACAAGCAACTATAAACCAGAGACACACTACGGGGTGGGGGGGGGTGAGGAAGTAGGCTCAGAACAAGGGGGGTGGGAATTGTATGGGGACTAGAACCAAGATGAAAATGCACACATTGTGCAAAAAATGAAAAATGATGTAAAAAATATATAAAATACTACTACTACTACTACTACTACTACTACTACTACTACTACTAAAAAGAAATGACCCTTTGCCAGTTGTTCTTATAGACTGTTCTCTGCAGGGGATGAATTCCTTCGTGGATTTCATCTGTTGTGGAACCTATCACTTCCAGGGTCTGCTTGGACTAATACGAAGGACTGGTGGTCCTCTTTGTAATGACTGACAATTCTCCTTGTTCCTACTTCTGGTTTCTGGCCTTGTGAAACTTTCTTCCTAAATTTTCTCCATCAATTATATGCTTCACTTAAAGTTGCAGTCAACAATGCTAAGTGAGGACTTACTGTATTATTCATCAGCATTTCGAAATCATGTTATGCAACCAGGTCATTATATATTAAATAGAATGTAATATAGGTTTCCCCTGCTATCGGAAAGAATGTTTCTATTTGGTAGGTTATTTTGGGGATTTTGGGATTCTATTACCAATTATTCATATGGAAAACCCCAAAATAACTCACTGAATTATAATCAGCAGGAAGAGTCTACTTTCAGTGAATGGGGGAAGCCTGTATAACTTAGCAATCTCCAAGCTAAAGTCTCTGCAGTTCTGACACCTGTACCAGTGAGATGATCTCTCCCTCAAGAAGAATCTTCAGTTTCTGGTTTTATAGTGAGGCAGAGTGTTTAGAATCCAGTGGTTTGACTATGCATTCTGGTTGCACCTCTTACAAGCAATTCAAGCATGTTAATCAACCTCTTTGAGATCTGATATCCTCGTCTGAAAAATGGGGTTTGAATTTAGAAATGCTGATTTAGAAAGCATCAAATGATAGAGGATTCTGACTAAAGATGGCAGATTTCCCTCTTGAGATTGCACTAAAATGACAGGAAGAGGTTTTGAAAATAAACGATGTGCTTCTACAAGGGCAGAGAGAAGACACAGCAACAAAATCCTAAGACAAGTAAGTAGATGAATGTGTGGTAATGGAGCTGACTTGAGAAGCTGAATCCTTAACTGGCACCGGAGAAGGCCTGAGAGCAACCCAGTTTGTGCACAGGACACCCCCAAAGGCTTGGGGGTTGTCCAAGAGGGTTATCTGGAAGTGGGAACGGCGGTAAAGCTGAAGTAGTTAGAAGAAACACCGATACAATGGAACGAGATGGATGCAGGTGTTTCGAGTGGACCTGATTCGGAGGGACCTTCCCAGGGCTTGGCCATGACTGAGACTAACTTTGAAGTGCACCAGAATCACCCAGAGAGGGAATAAGCACACAGAGGCTCCGGCTATGGGAGTGGGGCAGGCCTGTGCCTTCGCAGCTGGACCGTGGCCCAAACAGAACCAGCCTCCAATATGGGACTGAACTGTCATTTCTCCAGTCCTCTCTACCCTTCCTCCAGCTTACTGCAGAGAGGGAGTGTGGAGGCTCCCGGCTGCCCCAAGCAGCCCTTTAGCCAAAAGATGAGGGAGTGGTTATCTTCGTGCTGCTGTTTATTCTAAACACAGGTATTTAAAACCAGCAAGTGTGGAAACATCTGTCCACTCTGCATGAGCTGCAAGCACAGGAGAGAATACAATTTGCAGACACCACAGGCAGAGGCACAAACTGTGTCCATAACATATTAATAGTGTTGATGTCGGGCACTTCTGTGATTATGTAAAACAGGAGTAACCATATTTCTTTTATAGGGTTAAAATTACCTTGTAATTATAGGGTTATTATGAGGATTAAATAAGAATGCATTCGAGAGCACTAGTGATGTGCATCATGGGGGTGTAGTGAAGGTTTAGTTGAAATGAAGAAAGAAGCACCAGCTCGCTGTCCATCAGGACTCAGGGCACCTCTAAATTGGATAATTATATAGACCACGACTATGTCTCCAGACTGTAGAGACACACATTCCAGCTTCACACCTACAGAAGATTGTGGATTTAATTCGTGACCAAGCAAAAACAGGTACCCCAAGAGAATGCACCATCTCCTTGGATTGCAGATGAGAAATTATGGGAAATCTA